ATATGTTAATGAGACTAGTTACATTTCATTGTAATAGCTGCATACCAATGTAATATGATTGATTGATTTAAACTGTATATCGAATATATCGATTATCGATATTTTGAAACGTTACAACACTAGAGCAATATAAACGTAATTTATTTCTGTACTTTTTTTTACTTATTGTATACAAAATATCGTATAACAAGTAAAAATAGAAGCTTTTATAAAATTAACACAAGCTGAAATATACTTTAAAGAATCTAGTTTTTGGTCTTCTTCTATCTGGCAATTTTCCAATTATAGCCAGGGTCTGCCTTACATGTTATGAATAGTTTTGGCTAATTTTTTTTACGACCGGCCGCCTGCCTGACATCAACCCTCTTTGGGAATGCATTAATCAGTGATGTCTAAATACTTTTAAAAAGTACATTTAATTCAGAAAAATCACATTGATACTTGCCAGGGCCAGGATCGAACCCGCACCTTCGTGCATGAGAGGTGTGCCTTTTTTAACCACTAGGCCACCACTGACTAACTTTCTAGTTTCTAGTATTTCTTTAATACATATGCGTATTAACTCTTAACCATCAGTCTTACGTTTGCACAGAAACTTGTAGTAAGTTTAAATCTCTAACCCAAACATGTTTCGTCAGTACATTTTATGAATATGAAAGTAATTGAAATATCTATTACAATATGTGTCAATGAATTTCACGTTTTTATTAGAGCAACATAAATCTTACATACCAGTTACGAAATTATGTTTTTGGAACGTTAATTTAATGTAATTTATCAATACATTACATACTTGTTCTACCGCTGTTCATTGTGGACTGATTTCAAAACGTTTTGAGAACGGAAGCTCCGTTTTATTAGACTAACTAATAAGTTCATAGATAACTAGTTTCTGCCCGCGACTTCATTCGCGGTCTTTTTCGATCGAACAGAATTAAATATCCTATGTCCGTCTATCATTCTAGGCTATCTTTCCACCACTTTTCAACCATACCCCTACGGTATTTTGTGCTTAACATACTATAATTTCAATTTTCAATTGACTTTAGGTAATTTTTTCTCATTTTATAAACCATTATTAAAATGAAATCAATTCGTCATGAAAATGATTAATGTATCGGAATATTATTGTCACAACTAAGTTTCGTAAGTGAGACATCTCATATGAATTTAGTTTCTTAAATACATATATATATATCCTCTATAAATACTTTGATTCCATAACAAAATACAGTCTTATATTAATTTATATGTAGAAATAAATACTTTCAAATATATAAGTCATTTCAATAATTACAATGCATATAATATTTTATCATTGATAAATCCATCATGGCGACCTACAGGCGGCAAAAAGTGACTTATAACACGTCAAATTAATTAAGTTCAAACCGCATGAGGTCGCTACGTTTAGTTTAAACCACATCCGGTAGCGTTGCGCAAAAAAATATTAGTAAATCAATACACTTACTACCGGTTTGAAACAAATAGACATTTAAATTATATAGGGACAACCGGAGGTTCCAGGAAAAACAAAAAACTTACATCTTTATATATATAATTCTTCTGTGAGTGTGTATGTCACTGAACTTCTCTCAAACGACTGGACCGATTGTGATGAAATTTTTTGTGTGTGTTCAAGGATATCTGGGAATGTTTTAGATTCACAACTTTGTCCGCTGGACAATGTTTTTTTAATTAATTTTTAATTTATTAGTAGTTGTTGATACAAACGTTTTTTTTGACATTAGATTTGACAACTAGCTAATATGTCAATCATTCTGTCTCACTTCAAAACACGGAGATTTATAGGTAAACTCCAAAATTATATAAATAAAAAAACGTAACAGATATTTCTTTATTATAGGGCGATACGAAGTTCGCCGGGTCTTCTAATATACCCCGCGCTCTCATGCCTGAGTGGCGGGCCTTTTAACCACTAGGCCACCACTGACGTATTACTTATATATACATATATGTATATATTATATACATATATGTATATTATAATAAGAATTACATATTAAAACTTATAACCTACACCTAAGACTACATGATTGTCCCGATGTTATGATAGCAATACCATTCCATAGCTTGTGTGTATCAGGAATCTTCTGGTTCACACGCTTGGTGTTCGTTCCGCGGAGTCAGCGGCGTCAAGAGTTATATATTTTATCCATACAACGATGTTGCCTGGCGTTGTTCATTTATTTTTAATGTAGCGCGTACGTAACACCATCAATAAATCTGTGTAATTAAATAAAACTAATATTTTGACATTAAAGACATTTCCATCTCGATGTGATGACGGTTGCTGTAAAGTAACCGAAACGTCGGGAGTATAAAGTTTAAAATAATAAAAAAAACACGAAGTAATCCGAATATATTCGTATTTTTGTTTTGTTTGAATGAAAACTAGCGAAATTCTTAGCATTATTAAATCTTTACATGTGACATCGAATTAGGTATAAGAATGAAAAACTATTAACTATCCGTTTGATGTAAATAACTTGTGGTAAGCACTAAGCTTACTAATCAGTAACGTAAACATGTTAGTCAGTGATATTTGAGAATTTTATCCGAAATGAATATCAGTTTGTTAAATTAAATTCAACCTTAAAAACAAAATAGAAGATTGTTTTTCTATTGTAGAAAATAGGAAAAAATTTTTTCTAATTTAATAATAATAATGAATAAATATAGTAAATTTTTTTCTGCTTAAAATCATAAAGACTGAAACATATACTGTTTTTTTTTGTTATAGTTATTTTACTATATTAGTATTTATAAATCATTATATATGTAAAAGAAACATTTTTTATATCTTTCAAGCATTAGGGTACATACATATGTACATTCCGTAGATTACTGCTTTTCCTACTCTATAATTTATCTCTGAGACGAATTTCATCTAGATTTGTTTAGAGATTGTTAGATCACAGGGTATTCAAACTGTCATCTAGCTATAATGGTAGGTACACACGATACCAACTAAATATATTATACTTGTATTATGTATAGAATTTAATCTATGGGTCATTGCAAACAAAAGTCTGAACCTAAGCCAATAGTTATCGCGCATGTCTGCGTATCTTAAAAAGACAAAAAAATATATATTTTACACATTTTGAGTAATTCAATATTGAGACTATAATAAGTCTGCACAGGCGCTGTGTTCTCAAACATTAAGTTTGTACACATAATTAAACATATACTCGTATCGTGTAGATCCAGCCTAACATTACAAATGATTAACCATATATCGTATAATGCCTTTAAATCCTCTTTTATAATTAACGTCATACTAAATCAATCCCCATACTTCTTTTCCAATATAAAATACTTAATTAAAATTATACCTAACACTATTTCTCAATATATCAGCCGGTATAAAATCAAACGTACTAATATAATTGCGTTCAAATTAATTGACAAATAAGTATGTAATAAGATAAAAGAAATATAATATGCATATCGCGTGTGGTGGTCAAATTATAACAGGCTTCATATTAAAAGAAAATTAACTATTACAACAATATATTGGGAGTAATATCGAATTAATTTATCATATTCATAGACAAAGACACATAATATATATGTTAGACAGTGGTGGCCTAGTGGTTAAAAGGACCGCCTCTCATGCACGAGCGCGCGGGTTCGATCCTGGCAAGTGTCAATGTGATTTTTCCGAGTCATATGTACTTTCTAAGAGTATTTAGACATCACTGATTAATGCTGATTCCCAATAGAGGGTTGATGTCAGGCAGGCGGCCGGTCGTAAAAAACTATTAGCCAAAACTATTCAAAACATGTAAGGCAGACCCTGGCTAAAGCTGGAAAATTGCCAGGTAGAAGAAGAAGATATATAATATGTATATTATAGCTAAGTCTTCTAGATAATATTAATATCCTTTAAAGTATAAATTTATTTATATATGGAAATTACGGTTTAAATATTCTTAGTCTTTCAATAGATTTTTTTGTTCATTTGTATATGGTAGTTACCATAAGTGTGTATTATCGAAAACGCAAACTATTCAGTTTTTCATTTACAAAACTAAGCACGTGAAAATATGGTACGTCGAGGAAATACCTGAAATTGATTGAATTTGTGCAAACTGTAAGCAAACTCGTGTGAAATACTAATGCTTACTCCTGTTCCTCTTGTTTCAATAGTGACACTACGTATTAAGCGTTAAACTTAGCTGTTTATTAATAAATGTACTCAAATTATAGTATTAGTTTACGTTACTGAATGACAAATGGAAAACGCTTAGTACGTTCGTGAATACAAACTTGAAGTACGTGTAATCTATTACACAAACCACAAATTTAATGTAAAAACTGTAATAATTACAAAGAATTAAAATAATTAATTAATTAATTAATATCTTCAACCTAAAAACAATTTAATACAATATTTTATTTCAAAACAATCAAAATGGCGGGCTAATAACTGTCAACTGTCAACGTCATATATTTTTTAAACTACATACATAAAAATATTTTCAAACCAATTCGACTTATATTTCTATTCTTTTATAACTATAATACATTAATAGGTTATAATTATATTCATAATTAGCTCTATCGGAACACAACTTGACGTTTCATTTAGTAATACAAAAGAAACTGACGTTATTTGAAACGTTCGAATAATTGAGATAATTGACTTCGTATAATTATAATACAGTTATTATATTTTAATGGACTAATTACTGAGATTATTATACAATGTTTTATATAATATGTATAGGAAATACTCTTTAAACGATAATCAAACTAAATGAGAAACTCAACTGAGCGCTGTTGGCTATTTATAATAAATATCATTCTTTAAATTATATTAAAAAAGATATTATATCAAGTATGACGCATAAATATATTTTTAAGTACTTTTTCTTTTGCTATCAGTAATCAGACATTGGCATAATGTGTCTTAAGTGCGTATATAGTGTTGCCATTAAATTATATTTATTTAACAATAATATATAAATAAGCTTACTAGTAACACTTTCAAATGTGTGAACAATGTTTTCAAAAATTATTTTATTTGTTTGTGTGTAACTTCATAGTTTATTAACTCCTTATTGTTTGATAAATATTTAATTACCATACAAACATGTAAAAGATGATTTTTCTGGTCGCAAAACAACACATTACTAAATACATCCCGGTTATAGAAATCATTTTAGACTTAACTTCCTACAAGAAGAGATCATTTTCATAAAGTCCAAGTGACTAAGAAATAGAGTCTCTTAATTTTTATTGACAAATATCCAGTGGTATGATCGTAATGCGCTACTTGTCTTAAATTTATTAAAAGGAAATATAAGAATGAAAATAATTCTTCAGAACCTATGAAAGTTATATATGAATTTACATGAGCATCCTAGATTACGTAATATGTAATAATAACAAATTTGGTTAGGTAGAGAGAGGAGCTTGGACAGTGGAGGTGAGGGTTTAACGCGTTAGATAGGGGCCTCTTAAACCTACACCTGCGTCACAAGTCACAGTCACTGTTGAAGCTCCTCTCTCTACAACGATGGACCCGACACACGCACGAATACATTGAATGATGAGAAGTTTCGTTTCTTACTTTTGTTTATTGAATCATTTTATACTAATATTAAGACAAAAAAGCTTCCTATTTTAGCATTTTCTATAGCTCATGTATCTATAGTTATAGATCGTTTCTATATCTAGAGCATTTAAATCAAAGAGGTTTCGTCTATGATATCTGTATTAATATATAATGTATGTCACCAGGAGCGTCTGGGCGGCGGCGGGCTGGGTTTGGGCGGCGGAGGCTTCCGCGGCGCTCAACCCTCGCTCGCCGATTTCCAGCCGCCTTACTTCCCGCCGCCCTTCGCACCTAGCGCACACCCTGCGAGCCCGCATCACCAGCAACAGGTACACAGACACATACACACACACACACACACACACACACACACACACACACACACACACACACACACACACACACACACACACACACAAACACATGTATATGTTAGAACAATTTTGCCGGTTCTTGTCAGGTCAGGGTATTTTGTTTTCCGAACCGGTGGTAGTGTCTCAAGTGACCATCAATAAGAAAGTGTATGCTTCTATATTGAATAAGGTTATTTAAGTTTGAGTTTCAATACTAGCATTCGTAAAAGTTAACTACGTGCTAACGTTTCGATTACTTTGCAGCAATAAATCATTATTAATTAATCTTAGGCGGTATAAACTTCTGTAGTATGTAGTTTTAAAAATAATAAAATAACGCTATTTACTAGTAATATCCGAAAATATTAGTTTCATGTAAATGAATACTTGATAAGTCTTGGATCTCACTAGCATAGACGTACCTACATATTAAATAGTTTTATGTTAAAAAGATTTCATTATGACATCCGAATATAAGAAGTGTTGCCTCATGCAATATTTATATTACCATTTACATTCAAATCACAAAATTAAGTAATTACGTTGTTTGTGGTAACTGGGACTGTTAATCAAGTTATTCGACGCTTTTAGTTATATTAATTTTTTAAATCTTATTTCACTTACTTTTGTCGTAAAAGTTTTATTATAACACCCACTTGCCTTTATTATTGTATCCTTAGTCCAAGTCGACATCACTACACACGCAGCGTTAACAGTATTTTATTCATAAATAGTATATAATATACATTATAGTATTAACGTAGGTTATTGAATAAGAAACGGGAAACGCTACGTATTATAGCAATGTAAACTTAGGTTAAGAATATTATTGAAAACCCCTACTATAGTTACAAGAATTATTGAGCTGGTAGAGCCTAGCTGTGGTCAGTTACTACAGCTCGAACATGGGCTGGCTCGAAGGGAAGTACCACCCTCTCACAGAAGATCGGCAGTAGCTTTTAATGGCTGCGTTTCGTCCGATGAGTGAGAGAGACGGTTGCATTTTCCCTATTATCAAACTTTCCTTTTTCCTCAACAACAAAATTGGCAACGCATTCGCATTATCTTTTATTTTTTAGAAGTCCTTTGCTATGGTGACTACTGCCCATCATAAGACCGTCTGTTCGTTTGCCACAGCACTTATAAAAATATATTATCTATTTATAAGTTATAAGGTTTTCGAGAGTGTCATTAATTTAAATTAAACTTATATTTTACGGATATATTACATACGCGACTTTATTTTTGATAAAAAACTACATACTCCCGACGTTTCGGCTACTTTTCACATCTCGTCTTAATGATCACGGTTGCTGTAAAGTAGCCGAAACGTCGGGAATATGTAATTTTTGTAGTATAATAGAAACTCGATTATCCGGCCCTCAGTTATACGGATTCGCGATTATCCGGACTACGGACAAGTCCGGACATGAAAGAATGTCAAAACGTAAGGGAGTGGTGTTGTTGAGAGTGGCGTACGTCAAATGACATTTACCAAATATCCTAAACCAAATTAAACTTATTATTGTAATAATTCATGTTTAAATCTACAGTTTTAGTACATACATATATATTATATAATCTAAGAAAATGTTTCCTTTAATGATTTATTAATAAACATTGATAATTATCGTTGATATGTATTTTTTACTTTTTTCATATAAACATATAATATTATGTTCCATATAAGCACAAAACCGACTTTTCTTCATACATTCATATCCGAATGCCTGACAACAATTAGTCCGGTTAATCGAGTTTCTACTATATCCGATGTTACAATAGCTTCATATAAATGATCTATTTATTGTTCCCAGAGCCATGGCATGGAATATTCAGGAGGTCCGGAGTATGGACAGCATTACGCGCCTCAGCAGCTTCTACCAAGACATCATGGCCATGAGCCACCTCATCTCAGACATCATAGAGATCATCACGACGTACACTCACACCACGTGAGTATACTATACATACTAGCTATTCCCCGCGGTGTTACCCGCGGATTTCCGGTACGTAAAGTAGCCTATGTCTTATTCCTGGATGTTAGCTTCCTGTATACAAAGTTTTATCAAAATCGCGTCAGCCGTTTGAGCGTTAAGTAGTAACAAACATACGCACTCATAAACTTTCGCAATTATAATTTTAGTAGGATACATACATAAAAAGATCAGTAGAATGGTACAACATAATAAAGGACTTGGACTTATCCAGAACAATCAATTAATTCTTGGAACGTACATCGAAGCATCCCTTGTAGGTTCTTTTCAAATTTGGTAGAGAGAGGAGCTTGGACAGTGGAGGTGAGCGTTTAACGTGCGTTAGTTAAGGGGACCCTTAAACCTACACCTGGGTCGCAAGTCACAGTCACTGTTGAAGCTCCTCTCACTACAACGATGGACCCGACACCCGCCCATAGGTTTATGTTAAGTATATAGAAATACTATAAAAATCTCAAACTTTAAAGAATACAGGGTGTGTATAGAATATAGAGACATAAAGAGACATTTACAAATAAATCTCATTTAAAATAATTATAAAGATAAATTTTCACCTCAATCTCATTCAATAACAAAAATTCTATGAACAAATCAATTAGTATCTTTATCGTAACAAACATACAAACACACATAATATTTCATATCCCATCAATATCCATATACATCTTCACCCCGCGTTCTTCAGCCGAAGTCTTGGAATACTTCACCCTCAGTAATGTTATTAAATCTTTGATCAAAATTGCGATCTTCAACCATACATTCCGTTCCATACATAACAATTGACCGGTTAATTATTTGGGTTTTCGTAAAAATGAGTTGAATCACCCAATTTTTAATATTTATCATGTAAAATGTAATTCAACAAAAATGCCTTTTCGTATTAAAACGGGAATTAGTTTTTAGGTATTAGTTTGGGAAATTCTTTTCTAATTTTGGACTTTAAAATTTAAAATGAGTTACAATGGTTGACTTTAAGTATTTTCTCACGAACACCCAAACATATTCAGGATATGTAAGAATGTCTAGAAATAGTAGTAGAAGTAGAGCCATCTTACAAATAAAATTATCAACAACGATAACTTTAAACTCCACAAAACATTTCCTATAACTGAAACACAATTTCGAAAATAGTTTATTATAGTTGAATCACCCAATTCAGTACAAACTCAGTATATTCGTTCGTCTTAAAGCAGACGCCATAGAATTCTTAACAATGCCGTACTTCGATAGATTAACTAAATAATGTTCTGCAAATATCAACTCTACGACAATGGGATCCCATGAAATAGTTGTATTTATGGTTTTATATCAAGGTTAAAATATGTTATAGCTAGGAAACCTTTCATTATTGTACATTACAAATCTAAGTATAATACTTCCTACAAAACCCCGTCATATTCATTTAATTTAGTGGTGTTCACTTAAGTCAGTGGTGGCCTAGTGGTTAAAAGGCCCACCTCTCATGCACGAGGGCGCAGGTTCGATCCTGGCAAGTACTAATGTGACTTTTCCGAGACATACGTACTTTCTAAGAGTATTTAGACATCACTGATTAATACATTCCCAAAGAGGGTTGATGTCAGGCTGGCGGCTGATCGTAAAAACAAATAGTCAAAACTATTCACAACATGTAACGCAGACCCTGGCTAAAGCTGGGAAATTGCCAGGTAGAAGAAGTTTCAATCCCAATTATCCGAAGTTTTAACTCATATAAATACGTCAATACTATCGTTGAGAATTAGGACTAAGGTAAGAAACGCAAACTCGTAATAAACTCGTGTTTATTCAAGTAATTGTTACGGATAATTAAATCTATGTACTTTAACTGTCAAGTTTATAGTTAGTTCACTGTTAATTAAACTATAGTTAGTATTTAACTGAGTCAGTCACTGCTTGTGTTAACTAGCGTTCTACCGTGACTTCATTAGGTCATACAAATTTTTTTCTTTATAATTTTTATTTATATCTTTCTTATTGATGAAATAAACATACATTTAAGATTTGCATTTTAATAATGTCTTTAAGTCATTTTGACAGTTACTAAGATAATAAATTCTAATGCAGATTATTATATGAGATTATAAATTTAATTTAAAACTATTTAGTCGTACCAAAAGTGAGTTTTCAAGTAATCCTAAGTGAAAAAACCTTTTAAAGCTTTAGTGCTTGCAATATATGTAAGGTCAAAGGTCAAATCTCATATATATTGTTGTTCCATCAGCTACCTCACGGCGGGTTCAGCTACGACAGGAGAACGGATTACGGTGCACGGGAGCAACATGACCTTGCCCTTCATCACGCCTTACACACAGACGAGACACAGGTATATATATATTAGATAATATAGTTCTTTATTAAGACGTAGTAGCCTAGAGGTTAAAGGTCAACCTCTCATAGAGAGCGCTGGTACGATCCTGGCAAGTGCCAATGTGATTTTTTGACCCATATGTAGTTTCTAAGAGTATTTAGACATCACTGACAGATGAAGGAAAATTTCGAGGAAACCTGGACTTATATCAAATTATAGGTTTGTAATCACCAACCCGTCTTAGCAAGCGTGGTGATTAATGCTGAAACCTTCTCCATGTGAGAAAGAGGCCTTACAGCAGTGGGCTCTGATAGGATGATGATGATTATGATTCTTTATATATATTAAATTTATTCATTATATAAGTACAATTCCGAGAAACTAGCATTAGAAATAGTATGGGAATCAAATTCTAAAGAAATATTTAACCTTTTTTTTAATAAATGACTACTCGGTAATCTTTTCACTATGATGATGATATATTATAATTTATAAATATACAATTTCCCGACTCTAAACATCTTAAGACATACTTACATTTAAAAATGCTGCTAGTGGTTAAAAAGTTAAATGAAAACATAATAGAACCTCTTTTAATAAAATCACAACACTTTCCGATACTCTCATAATACAACAAATATAGTTCATGTTAAGAATTTAATAAACTTAACAGATTAAAGACCTTTCTGTATCTTTGGAATTTTTCAGCGGATTGAAAAAATAACTCATAAAGAACCTTTTTATATTTCTCGTTTTTTTTTATAGAATGCAGGCATGGACGATACGACGGGTTTCATGACGGATCTTCCATTATTAAAAAGTAAGTTTTTATATTAAATTAATAAACATTTTAAATATTAGCTACAAATATTTTAAATATAAAAGATGGCCTAGAAGATACACAATAATTAGACCCCAGTTATCTTTCGAATCTACAAAAAAAATCTCATTCAACTGACCGATTCAAAGAAATAAAAGTATCGATCAATCATACGATATTTAAATAGCGTAGGTCGGATACGGAAATGAGATGCGACTTGGTTTTTTTTTTTATACCGGTTAATTGAGTGAAAGATTTCATACGGTTTTTTATAGCATTGATTGATTTGTAATACAAGTGTGTTTAATGATACGAAATTGTAGATTTTATCGTGCGTCAAATAAAAATTAGTATGCAGGCGATCTATATCATGTTTTATAATAACATTCTTAATTTAAAACATATTATTTTCTTAAATTTGATACTAACAAAGTAATAATACTGGCCGTCGATAACAAAAAAAAGTATATTAAATAAAAAAAAGGTGCTGGCCATTAATACATTTGTAATAAAAAACTTATCCGTGGTAATATTCTTTTTTCAAAAAGCGCCACGGTGTTAACTAGCCAGCGTGTCGCTCAGCTAATGACACAGTAATGTTTATTGTATTAGAGCTCCCATAATACAATATTATAATGTAAATTCCGTTCACGCTGCGCTCATGTTTGGGGCGTGGCGGTAATTGTTAAGAGCCGTTGTCGGTATTCCAAATTCAAAAGCACCCGGTATTCTATTCGATTTCTAAATAACTTTCATACGTATTTTATTAAATACATTAATTTATGTTATAAATTTTCATTGACTATATTCATGCTCATTAAAAACGTACGAAAATACTATTTACATTCAGAAATATGTACTAAGATTTCACGCCATACAATTTAGATTATGCAAAACAGATCTCATACTTCACATACCAAAAAAAAATTAACATACCATAGACAATACAGAGTCAAGACTCCCATAAATATAGACTATAGAATACCATAGACAATATTTTCCACCCAGCAATGAAAGCCCGCGATGTAGGGACAGGTGCCTGCGCCCCCAGCGACGTGTTCTGTTCAGTACCGGGGCGTCTCTCACTCCTGTCTTCAACCAGCAAGTATAAAGTGACCGTAGCGGAGGTCCAACGAAGATTGTCACCACCAGAATGCCTGAACGCGTCCCTACTAGGAGGAGTATTGAGAAGGTAGGTCTAGATATACTGGTTATGATTAGAAAACAGAATAAGTGATTGTGAAAATACATGAATTTATAAAAAAAAATAGTAGTGTGTGGATTGTTTAGGAAATGTGATGAACATTTCAATGATAAATTTACCGATACTCATTAGAAAAAATGATATACAGTCGAAAAACTATCGTTTGTATAGAAAAAGAATATCGCAACAATTTTTTCTCTAAAATTTTAATTCTACATCACAACATTAGTAAGGTATTTGCAAACAGATACTATAAATATCTCGCAATTATAGTAATACTAAAATTATATGTAGTAGAAATATATATATTATATAAAAGAATATGAATATTATTGTATTTATACCAAAATATTCGCTATATGTGTTTAGATATAATAATTTTAAGAGTACTTGAACTTATTCTAAATTTAAATAAATTCGAAACCGGATGTAGTACATAGTTGTGACAAAAAAGTTTACATAAAAAATATATATATCAGTTCGACCGTAATGAAAGCTATTAGAGCTATAATTGCTGGCTTCAGTGCTGACGTATTTGAATCAATGTCAATGACTTAAAAAATCCAATTAAACTACAAAAGGATGCAATAGAAAAACTTTTTAACATTATTAAAAACATACGCCTAATTATTGGAAAGTCAAGCGAAAAAGATATTTATATTAAAGGAACAAAGTCTAAATTCCTTTACCTGTTAATGAATGACGTATTTCAGAGCCCATTTAGTGTTATACTCTGTGATACAGCAGTATATATTAGTTTATTTTATACGTCAACAATAACGCTGTCAACTGATAATATAAAAAAAAAAAACAATTTTAAATTTCGAATAACGAACATGTACATAATCTGACATTTGACACAATGAATAAACTATTTCTTCATAATATAAATTAGTTCGATTTTTAAATTATAACGAACCAAACAAACGGTATGATTGTATTCAGCCGTAACTTTCTATTAATCATTATTATTGGTTCCATCGGCTCGTTAGCTTTGTACTTATCTTTTGTCAGTTGTTAATATAACGCTTATTCGCAATATTTTGATGGCTTTGATATGTTTGTTTTGGATGCGTTATATAAATATATGGAATTTAATTTTTAAATTTGGAACTCATCAATTTTTTTTTTTTTTAATCAAACTTTTTGGTTGTTATAATTCTTTAATAATGTATTGAGGTTTAAATTCGTGTATTCATTAATGAATGCGAAGTATTCACTGCATTCCATTCGTAGGGGAAGATCCCAGACGTTGGTTTGTTAAATTGAGGTTATTATCGAGGGCGGGGCGGTGGTTGCGTTTGAATAATCTTTATTTAAAATTATTCTTAATAATCTATTAATATTTATGAATATTTTTAAACTAGACAATAAATTAAATTATAAAAATCGTTACATATTTTCTCGGTTTTTAAATTACATTTTTTTAAATTGAGAAATATATATTTAACACAATATGTTTATATTACGACTAAGAATATTAAACAATAGTTCTTATATGGTAACTCCATCTAGCGGTTAGTAGCGGTAAATTTTAACTTTATTTAGAAACAAATTACATTAAACATATCTGTTATTTTAATATAAACTAACAGCTAGACTGTTCAAATCAATGATAATTCCTTATTACAAAAACATAAATTTAGATTATATTGCCATAATGATTTTCATAAACAATTACAATTATAATCCTTATATAAACTCTCCCGTATCTTTCACGTAAGTTACATTGAATTAAAAAAGAGAAGGAAAAATACTGAACGTTCAGAAAGATCGAATAACTAAAAAAATATATATAATATAATAATGAACAAAAAATGAGTTTCGAATCAAATCAAAACACAATTTCCACTCGTTAAGTATCAACATGTCATAATATGGAGGTCGGTCTGTCCCGCTATCTTTAATTGACATGTCTCTTCGTTTTTTTAAGCGCGCCAACAATGGCGGCCGACCGGCAACACGAATAATAGACTCAAATTAACTGTATTGTTCACTATTTATATATTTATATGCAAAAAGCTAATTAATATAAACAAAAGTGGAATTTTGATATATTTAGTTGAATTAAAATCGATTTTAGTCGTTTTTTTTGACATATACATTTTTATTTCAGAGCGAAAAGCAAAAATGGCGGTAGGTTACTCAGAGAAAAACTAGAGAAAATCGGTCTAAACCTGCCAGCGGGGAGACGGAAAGCGGCTAACGTAACGCTGCTCACGTCGTTAGTAGAAGGTAAGAATAATAATGACATCCTATTTGGACGATATACAGGGTGACTGGTGAATTACTATCAATATTTAAGGAGAATACTCGGTACATGATTCTCATTCGAATTATGTAAAAAAAATAGGTATTTAAATTTAGACCAAATTTCCGTATAAATAAATAAAGTGCGGACACGTTCCAAGTGTTCCAAGTGTGGACGCGTGCGGCGGCGTGCTGATACAACACCACGCCGCCGCACGCGTATGTGTGACTATGTGTCTTTACCTAATCTGTAGGGTGTTCACACGATGCGTAATTAATTACATAACTTTTGGTTAACTTTACTTAGAAGTTTATTAATATTTATGTTATATTAATTTTTATTTTGTCATATATGATCGTCAAATATCACGTCCTCAAGTATCGATAGTAATTCACCAGTCACCCTGTATAATTTTTATTTAGAGAATACAATTTTACAAAAAAAAACTAAACAAAGGGCATACTTATGATTATAAACGACATTCTATCTTATAACCTAAGACTTTAAGTACAATTAAAAAAACATCAATATACAATCTAACATAGTAAACAATTCTAATATCAAAAAAAGAATACATCTATATTAATTAATTATCTGTATTATATATTCCGTATTTGACAGCCGAAGCGGTTCATTTGGCGCGTGATTTTGGTTACGTTTGCGAGACAGAATTCCCGGCGAGGGCGCTCGCTGAATACCTCGCGAGACAATACGCTGAACACGACGCACGACGACGCAGGGACCTGTTACACGCTACCAAACAGGTATCATTCACTCACTCACTGATAATACCATTCACTCAATTACATTCATTCACATACATATTTGTAGTCAATAAACATGTGATGTTGTTTATCATCGATTTCGTGATTTGAATTTCGAACTATTCGTGACTTTTAATCATTCAAAACCATAATAATATGACAATGTCATTTGTGTCAACTGTCAAATTGTGACACTAATGACAAACGTAAGGTACGCACCATCGACATATACTAATGGACATGCCGTACGCGTATAATCTGCAGTAATTTTTTGGTTTGAAAAGAGTGAGAGAGATGGCCTATGCTTTCGGTATAGCGCTATCTCTTTCCTCATTACGGTACTATTTAGAGAGAGATAAAGATAGACCGAAAGTTCCTTTCCTCTCTTTCTTTCGGAGTGCCACAATTCTCATCTCTAAGGCATGTCCATTAGTATATGTCAGTGGTACGCGCCAACATAATAATCCTATCTTTGAGTATGACGTCACGAATACAATTTCGCCTCAATAACAATGTGTATCTTTAATTATGACGTCACGAATATATTTCCTTGTAGGTGGTGAAGGAGGTGATGGATCTATTAAACCAGGACCGTTCTCCTCTGTGTAACACGCGGCCTCCTCACCTCCTGGAGCCAGCTATACAACGACACCTCACACACTTCTCACTCATATCACACGGTTTCGGTGGACCGGCCATTGTTGCCGCACTGACAGCTATACAGGTTTGTTTTTTTTTTATTACTTACGATTAGGTCCTAATTGTAATGCCAATAAAGATAAAAAAAAATTGTTTTATTAATCAAATCGTAGTGGTTAATAAGTATCCTCTCGTGCATGAGGGCGCGGGTTCGATCCTGGCAAGTACCAAAGTGATTTTGTCAAATCATATGTACTTTCTAAGAGTATTTAGACATCACTGACAGATGAAGGAAAACATCGTGAGGAAACATGGACTTATAATTTCACAATTATATTTGAAATCACCAACCCGTCTTGAGCGAGCGTGGTGATTAATGCTCAAACCTTCTCCATGTGATAAGAAGCCTTCGCTCAGCATTAGGCTCTGATAGGCTGATGATGACGATGAATTTATAGTTTTTAATTATAGTCACTATAATTTAGTTTTATTTCTGTTATGATTGTTTTCTAATAGACATGTATATTTCTTTTCAGAATTTCCTAAACGAGTCCTTAAAGCATTTAGACAAGTTATATCCACAGAGCGGCATGGTGTCGTCTACTATGGACAAAACAAAAATGGATCCCGACATCAAAAAGTAGCACACGCACTACCTCCGCGTCGCTATGTTAAAGACGCTTAATAATAAAATAAAAAATAAAAATAAATAGTTTTTTATGTAAGCAACTTTTGACATAAGTTTGAATTCGGCTGTATAGATAACATATTAGAAGAATTATATTTTGTGTTCCGAAATAATCCTTAATAGTCGATAATAAAGTCAAGTTTTCAGTGCCAATGACATTTTAGACCACAGACAAGGTAAACGAATACTGCCACACAGAAAACTACGACATCAAAACAAAAGTGCAATTATGAAATACTCAAGATTGTGAGAATTTTGTATATATAGATATAGACGAATGATAAGTGAAGCTATGTGTGATTGTAGCTCTTTTTTTTATAAATTCAATTAATTTTTTTTCCAGACAGTATTTTTAATAAAACCGGTACTACACGTAATCCACCGCAATAAAGACACATATCAGATAATAAATTTGTACATAGATAATATAGAATTGATAGAGTTTTTTCACATTCAGCCTTAATTTAAACATTAAAACCTCTTTGATTTAGTATTTTTATAATAGGAATATAATAGTTTTGCTAGTGATTCATTGTGAACGTGTGCCAATTAGTTTTAACGTTGAACTACCATACCTATATGGTGACAGCGATGTTTTAATGTATGTATTATTTTAATTACCGATATAAGTGTAACCATTTTATTTATGTTAATACAACTGCGTTATCTTATAAGGGTTTGTAACGTCAAACTACAATTGACAGTTATTTTTTTTATTTTCAACATATGAAAATGTACCAATGTAATATTATTAAAAATACTTGTGCTCAAATTCTTACTACAAGTTTGTATTGACAAATAAATACAGACTTTCTAGTTTTCTAAGAATCTTCGTATAAATGAAAAATTGGATACTATTCTGTATAGTTTGTAGTTACGAACTTGTAGTAATAATTTAGGTTGATAGTGGTAACTCGTACACAGCAGTCAGGAGCGAATACAAAGTATGATAAAAAGAAACATTGATATTATCAATTATAGATAATTAAAACATCAATAATATATTAATTATTTTTCCTAACAATATTTAATATTACGGTTCATTCGCAGTGACTCGACTGTATTATGAAATGACGTCTTATTCATATTAAGAAAGAATTTTTAATGTTAATTATTTCATTTGAAAATATATTTCATGAAATTGTCAAAGTTTGAACATGATGTCACATTATGAGTGCGATAAAAGTATAAAATTGTAACAAAAACAAAGCAAAGTACATTGAACTGAACTTTTCACTTTTTTTATTTGTAATCTTTTAAAAATAAAAGTTCCAGGATGTATGTAATTCAACAATAAGCATTTTTTTTAATGCCTACGAAAAAAACATGATCTCTATTGTGTACATCTCCAACGGTACTTCTTCTGTGACACTTTGTTCGTATTTTTAATCTGTATTTTTTCATTCGTCAGCTGTTTCATTATTATTAGCAAATGTAAAACTATTTTGATGTACAATTTTAAGTTACTAAATAAATCTTAATATCAGTATAGATTATATAAAAAAATCTCATTTCCTATATTTTAAAAACGAACTATATATCTTTGTCAATTTAGATCGTTTAAATCTAGAACATTTTTTATACTCTGCCGGATTTATGTTTGTCTTTGATCTTTGACTTTTAAATTATTATATTTTTTTGTAAATATGTATGTTAAAATTAATTAAATATATTTAAAATTCATACAACCTACGTTTTTATTATTATATATCTTATATATTTATATATCTTATCCACAAATATGGTAAATATTTTATTTTAAATCAAAATGTATTGAATATTATTTATGGTAAATCCGAACACACCAAATTTTAAATTCATAATAATATTTTGATGTAAATTAAGCCTTCAGCGTTTAAAAGAAAATGTTTGCAAATAGTAAGATTTTCAGGCGCATTTTGTCGTGCTAGCTCTATTTACTAAATTCCCCGCTGAATTCTCCCCTTAATAATTTCTAGATCATCGGGCTGGATCAAGAGGGGAGTGATCAGCTACATCAAGTTCTACAAAGTGCAAGTGATATCTATAGTATAGTAAGGGTTCATGGTCTATGCTGACCGCTAAACATAAGACCAGAAAAAAAGTAATGGCCAAAGCCTTTCTATATAAAATAATTATAAAGTTGGTGACAAAAATTGTGTATAAACCATAGTACCTCGTGTGATGTAACTTTGAATTATTTAAAAAATAAGCATTTTTTTATTTAATAGATATGTCTTTATGATTTCAGTTTTCTACTGTTGATCCTATGTTACAAGTGGCGAACTGCGTCCTGTACTAATTATAATATATGTACTATAATCCTTAGAAATATTTTTATGACTGATTATAGCACTGAACCATTGTTATTTTGTAATGGCAACATTTAAGTATCAACCTGTATTTGTAAACTATAAATACCTAATGGTTTCAGCAATTTTGTAATAGATTATTGAAAGTATTGCTGATCATTTAAAAACAAATCTGGAACTGCATAGTTTTTTATGTTATGGCTTCATTCACACTGGATTTCCATAGCCTAAACTGAACACAGCATATTTCAATGTCATTGTCAACGGTCAAAACTTATGATACATAATACCACTACTAAATACTAATTTAGTTTATAAAGTTTTGTGTTCGTCTAAATTCATAAATTAATTTTATTATGTCTCAATTAAATTTGAATAAGACATGCTCAAAATTGGGAACAAGGTATAAAATCTTGGATAACCTAAATGTTGTTTATAACGAGTTTTGGGATAACTTTTTATTATGGAGTAAATATGAAATTTTTATATTCAGACCCCTTAATCCTAAATATATGGTCAAAATTGAATTGAATTTTCAAATAACTCAAGTTATATCATCACAATATTACCTCATATGTCTAGATACGACAGGAGTCGTTCAAGTTGCTAAATTAAAAGATAAATCGCCGGGCGTCACGTACGAACATTTTAATGCTATAGAAAAAAATGCAATTTTCATGACACGAGATCAGAAATTCATTTACATACTTACTATTAAAAATGGAACCTGTTTTTTACTGATTTATAAATTAGACGAATTTTCTATGAAAATTAATTACCAAATAAACGTTAATGATATTAATCTTAATGAAGAATTAAATTACAGGAGATGTAAAATGCATTGTCATTTAATAAATAATACAGAGACTTTTGTTTTTATCACGTTTGATGGCTTTTTGGTACACTATGTTACCATTAACCATTCTGATAGACTAAACAATGTTGAAGCTAAAACTTTGATTAACTGTCCATCAGAAATTAATGACATACATTATACAAATAACAATATTTTAATAAGTATGAGCATTGGTACAGTAATAAAAATGTATTGGGACACAAAAATATTTAAAGACAAACATATAATACATTTAAACACCGCTGTACACAGAATTAAGCCTGTAAATGATTCTCTTATATACACAGATGGTCAAACTATGTGGCAAGTGAAGAATATATTCTCTGATAATTTAATATTCAGTCAATATTATGTGAAACTCGTTAAAGATTTTACAATATTCAATAATGAAGTAATCTGCACTATTTATGGAGAACATTATTATATATTTTCATTAGACGATGAAACTTCTTATCAACAACCAGATTCATCTGTTGAATATTGTTCAGTAACACGACTACTGAAAGATAAGGATTACATGCAAGATATTGTAACAGAAGTTGAGAAAAATTATGAAATAACAAAGAAAATTAAATCAGAAGAAAATTACATAACTACTATAGCACTTTCAAACCGACAAGATATTTTGAATGATGTTCTTCATTATGACTTTGAAATGTATGAACAGTATGAGGATATTGTTCAGAAATGTAACATTACATTAACCAATGATATCAAAGATTATTATGAACTAGACTCACACTACTTACTCATAAAGCTGACCGTCGCAAACATTCATAAAAAATTTAATGATGTGTTATCAAATATGTTTGGTAACTTGGAAATGCATATAACACTATTCTCAAGTAACAAAGTGATAAAAAATATAACTCTAAAGATATATGAACAATTAAAAAATATGAATATAGCAGTCCCTCTTCAAACAGTTGTGTTGGAAAATAAAAAACTCAAAGTTCTCATAGAATTGATCACAAGAATACCCGGAGCTTTAGACAAAAAACAATCACTATGGATTAAATTACATACAAAGGAAGCCATATTAAATGCTGAACATTTTATCAAAACAATTATTCCCACAAATAATATACGCTATCTAAAGAAAACACCGGAAATAACGAGTCTGATTTGTGAAAATGCAATCAAACATCATGGACATTTAGTTAAATTAATAAACGGTGATAATAAGAATACAATGAAATGGAAATTTTTCACGAGACTTCCCGGAAATTATAAAGAAATATTAGCAAACGAACAGAGTTATAAAAGTTTGAATTTGGTCCAAAGAAAACTGGTGATGAAGGAATTGTCTTCAGACAGTTTTTTGTCGTCCAGAAATACTGTTGTATTGAACATTGCGAATGAAAAAGTTGAAATTGATATAAACACGGGATTTCCAAACGATTTTTTGCAAATTACGTCTGCTAATGTTCAAATAGCATCCGATATTAGGAATTTTTTATCTAATATACTATTTGTAAAGCAGGAGTTTACCAAAGATTATGTTAGTGCAACCATTTTGCAAACAATGGAGGTATGTACATAAACAAAAAGATTTGTAATATTTTTTCGACTAAAGAATAATATGTTATGAGTAACGAATCAAATTTTGATCCTGTAAAAGTATATTTGTTTATTATTGGGCTTAAGACTTAGACAAGACTAATTAGTCATTACACTGGGACTAAAAACAAATTAGTAACTTAACTGGTCTCCGCCATTTTAATTATGTATAATAATCAATGATATATAAATGTAAAATAATATTTGGAATGTTTTATTAGCATATTTAATTGATTTCAAGATATTTTTGTTTTATTTTTCAGACTTTAAAACAACAAATAGACGATTGCGTCTTACACTTACAGCCTATTGAAGATTTTCTACCTTTACATGAAAAATATCAGAAGAATGTAATCAGTCGTCTAAACCTGTGATAGTAATAGAGTTTTTTAAACATTGATATTTTTTGTTTTATTAACCAATTGCAATCTTAAATAAGATATGATTTTAACGAGTACTCATTTAAATGAAACTAATATTTTCGGATTTAGGTACTACGCGATTTTTTATTTTTGTCTATAAACTAGGTACATACTCCCGACATTTCGGCTACTTTACAGTAACCGTGATCGCGGGCAGACGAGGTGTAAGACTTATCTCGTCACTATACGTTATGGCATTAACGTAGTGGAATGAGAAATGGGAAAAGTTTTGTATGTAATGCCAAGATGCGTACTTGGACTAATCATACTTTATATTACCATATCAATACATTAACATATTACTGATTGAACTCATAAACCTACGTTTATACAAATAAGGAAACACTAAATGCGCGCAATATTATATTTTTAACCAATTTTCCCCTTAGATAAATCCAACGATCTAATATGCCTTTTTTTAAGCTCCTATTCATTAGTAATGATTATATTATACAGTCAGGAATTCCTTGGACAAGAAACAAAATAGAAGCAGTGCGCAAAAGAAACATTGACACTCTCTGGTGGTCCGTCGTCGAGGCGACATCGCTCAAGGGTTTAGACTGTTAATATTGTGTTAGCAGTTAGTTTAAGGATCATTTTATTCCTTAATTTACCTTTTATATTTGTTCATTTTAATTAATATCGTATAGTCAAATTGCCAAATGTCATACTGTTATTTTATTTTTAAAAATTCGAACGAATTTCCTTAATATATAATTTTGTTAGGGGTCATTAACGTACTCATTCCTAACTATATGATCCAAAATATACTAAAACAACACCAAAAAAACCGGAGGTTAGTTTAGATGGTAAAGGAAATAAATTGAAAAGTTATGTATTAACAATAAAAGAATATGTCTGTCTAGAGCATAATTATTGTCGAGTGTCAATGACATTGTGGAATTCTTATCTTTGCCTGATAATACATCCCTAGAACTGGACTGGTAATGAGTTTATTAAAACATCCTAAGACCTAATTATAGACAAAAAAAAAACAACTGTACCACGAAAGCAACGTCCAGAAGATATAACAATAAAGCATGTAACTTTAACGAAAAGAACAAATTCATATATAAAACGAATTTTCTATTAAAACTTCATTGTATGAACTTAAAAGACGAACTGTTATAGTAGTACATATGTTCTAGTAGCAACTGTAGTATAATTACTATCACAGGTTTAGATGACTGTCTATTAAAGTACTTGCTCTTAATAAAGTTTATAAATATTAAATAGAATAGTATAAAACTATAATGAAATAAAACAAGTAAATATAATATTAGTCTATTTATTTAAACCATTCTTCTGAGGAGTTCGTTAATTTTGTCCTCACGGTTACCGAAGTCACCTCCGTCTACGTAGTGAATGGTCTTCTTGCGCCAGCCACCGGTCGGGTTGTTCAGTTTGAAGGGCCACAGGAAATTACTGGCATACTGTGAAACATAATTATGGTATTAAAAACACATTAAAAACTTTTTGGTTAATAACTGGCGACTTATATTTAATGTTAAAAAAAAATGTATTAAATTATACAATGTACATTTATATTAGCAAGAGGATTTTTTTATTATCAAAACATTACAATGAGACCATTACATGCAAAATATATAAATAATATGATTATTTATTATCTTAGATATAAAATTCTCGTGTCGCGGTGTTAGACAGCGAACTCCTCTGAAACCACGGGACCAATTTTGATGAAATTTTGTGAGCATATTGAGTAGGTCTGAGAATCGACCAAAATCTATTTTTCATTCCCCTAACTGATAAGGGCTGTTCAAACAAATTATTATTTTTTTAATTTTGGACGAAATTTTTTGTATATATTTTTAAATACATACAACCCTAAATTGTTACTTTTTTATCACCAACCTCTATTTTTTAATTGCAAAACAATGTTTGCTGGGTCAGTTAGTATATTTATATATTTCATATCCTATAATTACCTTGAACTTATCACCGACTGTGAATATTTCGTGTATGAGGTCTTCAACACAGATGATGTTGCTCTTGCTGAGTTTCTCCTCAATAATCTTGTTGGATGTTATCGCTACACGTTGTCCCTTCACCTTGGCGAAACCACGCTTGTAGATCAACTAGAATTAAATTCAATACACATTATTATTTATACTCTATTTTGAAGAAATTCGTATATTAAAGGGGGTAAGCTAGATAAACTACTGTAAATAATTGTGAAGATTTGATAGAAATTTAGATAAAAGGCAAAGAAAAATCAGGTTAGCATAAAATCTTGAATGTAACTCATATTTTTGGATTAACAAATTTTATATTATTATTTTTCTATTATTTTGTGATCATGCAGTTTTAAAAATAATAAAATAACTGTGTTCAGTTAGATAAATGTTATTATAGAATTTCGAGTATCTAAAAAGCATTACATACCTCTCGCACACTCTTGAGGTTGGGGTAGCCCCAAGTGATGTAAGGCTCAGCGATTCTCAGCATGTTGACGGTAGCTTTGTTCAGTTTGATGAACACACCGTTGTTGATCTGACGCAGTCTGAACAGCTTTAGGACTTTGCGTACCTAGAAATACAGTTTTAAAGTTTATAAGTAACATATTAAAATCAAAATCATGTTTCTAAAGGAAAATTGCCATATTTTAAGTGATTATGATGAATATAACAACATGTTGAAAAAATCTTAGCATATATAGATAATATTTCAGTATGTTTGTTATATTGAAATAAAAAAAATATTAAATGCATATTAATCTACACACATTTACACAAAAATAACATTTTTGACAATTTTTGTTGGTATCCCTGTTTATTCTGGCTAATCTCGGAGATGGCCAAACCGATTTTGATGGGATTTTTATTTGCTAGTTGATTTTATAAGGATTAATTTAAGCGACTTATTATCCCGATCCCGAAACTTAGCGTTATAAAGCGCGAATGGAATGCCGGGCACGCAACGTTATTTAATTGTTTCTTGTTTGTTTTTTAAGCAGGCAGAGTCGCGGGTAACAGCTAGTCTAATATAAAATTCTAGTTACACCTTGAGTACTCTAGACTTCATATTTTTCATTAATGATAGTGTTTTAAGTAGCACATGACAAAAATATTAATAGACAATATTAATTATTATATTAGCATTGTAATGAGATCTAACTCTAAGATTTTCGCGAGTACACATTTAAATGAAACTAATATTCTCGGATTTTACTTCGCGTTTTATTTTTGATTAGAAACTACATACTCCCGACGTTTCGGCTACTTCTCAGCAACCGTGATCACGGGCAGACGAGATTTTATATTAGCATTGATATCTCTAAATGAGTCAAATAAAATGAAGGAATCTCTTATCATGTTGAAAAACAAATATTTCATACAAAAAATTAACATAATTGTTTAGTATATATAAAAAATATTGTTAAATATTAGCATACCTTAGGTGACACCTGGTTGATACCACGAATACGAATGACGAAAGCAAGCTTGGCTTCACCGGGAACATAGTAGTTACCACGGTTACGAGCCTAAAATATAGAAAATTACAAATATAAGGATAGAATCATAATACATATAAATATTATACAAATCTAGACTCTAATATAATTGTAATAATGTTGAAATAAAATCAAACAATTAGAATTAAAATATGATCAACAAGTCATAGCCCCCACACACACTAGAAGTACATTAATGTACAATCTTGTAACTATTAGAGGTAAAAAATATTATAAATACATTAATTAGTGAGGATTTATAAGTGTGTGAGTAGATATTTCATATAAAAATTATTAAGATGAACTAAATAAATTAATCTTTAAATTCCATATAAATTGCTTGGATACTCAATATGTAAGTTTTATTTTGTTTGAGGCCACATATAACTGATCCATAACTATATTATTAAATTATCTCTTAACAAAAAACTGAAATAATACAACCAAAGGCAGTCATATTAGACAAAACCTCTCATAATTCCATGGTGCATGTGCCAGGTCTATTGTTGTAGTGAGAGGAGCTTCAATAGTGACTGTGACTTGCAACCCAGGTGTAGGTTTAAGGGACCCTATCTAACGCGTTATACGCTCACCTCCACTGTCCAAACTCCTCTCTCTACCTAACCAAATTTAAAACGAACCTAAGGCTGCCTCGTAGTTGCCTTGGCTCCACCTTCCAAGCTCATCTTGCTATTATTATAATTGCAAATGTTTGTGAGTGTGTGTATGTTTGTTATGTCTTCACGCTCAAACGGCTGAACCGATCTTGATAAAATTTTGAATACAAGAAGCTGATGTCCAGAAATAACACATAGGCTACTTTAGATCCTGGAAATCGGGATCAGTATCGGGGCGCAGTTAGTATTTACATAATATTTACAAACCTGTCTGGCCAGCCTGATTTCATCACGCTCCTTGATACGGTATTCCTTAACATACTGCTCGGCCCTCTTGAAGATTTCTTTCCTCTTCTTGTAAGCAGCCGTGCGCCTTTTGATAGTGACCTGGTCGGTTAAAACATGATTAAACAATGCTCTTGGAATAGATGTTATATATAATATAAGATTTCAATCAGATAATAAATTTAACAGCATCTTAATCAGATGAACTATGCCTTTTTATTAAGTATCATCATTGAATACACGATATAAAAAATAAGTATTTAAAAGTAAACAAATATAAAAACTAAAAGAAGAATAAGCAGTTAATTTGAGTATTACCAAATATTTCACTTATTACCACCAATTCCAGTTAAATAACAATATAATTCATTAGTGCTTGGCAGCTTATTTACACTTAAATCAAACACCATAACTTTTCTATACAAATTTTAAGTAGTGACGAGCCTAAATATACTATCTATAATTATTTATACAAGTATTTTAATGTATTAGTTATAAATCAAAGGTTTATGTACCTGAATGCGGCGTGTTCTAAGCGCCTCCCTACGTTTGCGATGTTTTAACACCGACTCGGGAACTGCGGGCAACTTCTTACTATCTTCCTTGCCCTTAACGACTTTCTTCTCGGCCGGAGCCGCCTTCTTGTCCGTTGTAGCCACCATTGTGCTAGAATTCATAAATTTCAATTAATCACTATTTAGATGCAATGTGATTATAAAGCTTGTTCTAACCACATTAATAATATTCCATATTTGCTTAATCATGTTGTATTAAATAATTACTAGTGCCGTTAATTCGTATTATGTGTGATAAATATTAAAATAATTATTTTTATTTACGGCCATTGTGGTACAAAGCATGTAAGTTGTAAGGTTAGGAAATTGTCAATAGTTATTGTGTATATAACATTGGTTATTCAACTGATCATATATATTATATCTTGAAATAAAAACGCACTTTTCAATTAAAATGAATAAATAAAATCGTTGATGAAAATACAACAGAAATGCGGTTCACTAGTCCATCGGGTGGTATGCACTTATGATATATACACTATTTTGAGGATGCAAACTTTTATAGTAAAATAACACTGCAATAATATTTTACATCTAATTATAATGTATTTAGCACCATTAATATATAAAATATCTTAAAAAATATCAACCTGCGAGGCAATACTCCACGCGGCACGTGTGTCAAATTATAGAAAGAACGACAGAAACCATAGACTTCCGGTAATCGCCATATTAATATTTTTTATTATGGCAACAAATCATTATAGAATAAATAAAGATATATTTCTTTATTAGTCTTTGTGCATAAGTTAATGCATTTAAAGAAAACAATTTCAACTTGTCATCTGTAGACATAAAAAAGAAATTTTAAAATATTTTCCGAAAAGAAAAACAATAGCGGTTGTCATAACAACAATAAATATTAAGTCGAATATACTGAATTTAGTAGTTTACGCTATAACTTTCACAGTATTTGAAATTTATTCTTTAATTATTAAATATGACCGAAAAGGAGGTACCATTAAGTGCTTTAGATGCAGGGGAATTAGAGTTGTTTATTCAGAGTATGACACCGTGGCCGATAGAAGCTATCGGCAATCAAGCGTAAGATACTAGGAATAAGACATTCCATTATTGTTAATAATTATTAATAACTTACATGAATTCTTCATTAATTTATGACCTATAAACTTTTGTTCTAAGGTGGACTGATTGGCACATACGACTTCAAAAATTAAATCAACAAGCAGTCTTAGAAGCGTCTACTATGCAAGAAGAGCTAACAAAAGAGACTCTCATATCTTATGGCAAGGTTGTTTTAATAAACCATAGAATTTATCGTAGAAGAAATAAGACAAAACCGTTAAAAATTGAAATTACTTTTCAGCTACCGAATTTAGTTTATGAAGTGATATGTATTCAAGTATGGCGTCTCAAAATATATCCACAGATTATGAAGCTTGAACCGGCGCCTGCAAACACTTTTGGAATATATATGGTTGTACGTATTGATAACATTATACAAATATTAACAAAATATAATGAATCTATTATTTATGATGACTTGTATACAATATAGAGATTTGTTTTAGTTATATCATGAAGCAGCTGCAGTAGGACTTTTGGAAACGGTTTTATTTCACGAAGATGGCGCTCAATGTATCAGCGAAGTAGTGATAGATCTTCTTAATTATGCTGTTGACCAATTAACAGCTCTGGTTGCTCTTATCAAGTAAATTCTAACTAATTTTAATTATTTTTAGATACTCGTTATAATTGTTGTGTGCATAAATTTTTTATTGATGACTAAATAGTCGGTGCTTCAAAAACCTTTGGCTTATCATATAGGTTCTTTTTTGTTATAGCAAAGGATATTTAAAGCCTGTTACTACCAAAGAGTTGGAATGTGAAACGACTCCCGAAGAATTAGAACGGCAGAAGAATGATCTGCAGTTCGATATAAGCATGAGATGTATTTCTATCGTGCGGTAAGTTAAAGTTTGTACAGTTAAGATGAAAAAGAACCATAAACAAAATAATCTAGACTTAGTCTAGAAATTTACTAAGCTGATTTGTACCTGAAAATTTTGAAGAACAACCATTGCTAGAAGACGTGCGATAGGTTATTTGCTTTGCTGTAATTGTATAATATGTTGTTTGATAAGGTATAGATAAAGTATATTTTTACAGTTATATCGCAGAGCATATGGAAGTGGCGGGAGTGGGCGCTTCGATTTCAACTAATTTATATAAAACTTTCGACGTTCCTTCTATTTTGTGCCATCTTCTACAGTTGGAACCATGGAAGAAAGTTAATGATAGGGGAGATCTTCAGATATTTAATTGTGAGTTAAAAAAATGTTTTTTTTTTATTAAACCTAGCCTACTATGATCGGTATTGCCATATTAATAAATTTTTTTTTTAATTTTCAGTCGGTCGTTGGTCGAAACCATCAGCCGACGATCTTTCTCAACTTCATAGGAGTGAGGCGCAGTTGTGGTTGTGTTTACGACAGCTTTTATTGGAGCCTCGTCTATCCCATTACTATACTATTGATGAGTGCCGACGTTCAGCTTTTTGCGCGGTACATCAATTTTGTAAATGAGTCCACTGCATAAATTTTACGTGTACTTTTTTCAGTAAGCCTAATGAAAAAATGCTAACTGAGAAATAGTAATACTTTTGCCAATAATAATCTCATGCTTAAGATTCTATTGAAAATTTAATCGTTAGTATCCAGTTTAACAAGTTCTTAGTTTGCCCATTTGCGAACCTATTTTTCAGGACCTTAATTGTCTCGGCAAAAGGCTTCTTTATTTATTGAATGTGTATTTATTTCATCCCCAAGATTTTAGATCTACCATGTGGGATTCAAAAACAGTTTAACAGAAACAAATTATCCTTTTTATTATATCATTTTTTTATTGACATGTTTATTTTCAAAGCTGCAAGCAAAACTAAGTGACGCCGTATTGGACCAAGTTCCACCTTTGGTAGACCTCAAGATGTTTTTATGTCGTCTAGCAGTAGGAGATTATTCCAGTCTTCATACTCGGACTAACGGCGTCAAAAACCCAGGATGTACGCTGATTGAAGTTGTGCCTCAGGTTTGTACTGTGAAAATTGCAGAATCCGAACCCAAACACATACATACATACACAAATATATGTATTTCATTTTCTATCAAGAACGAATTTAAAGGCAGTTTTAACTAAGAACACTTTTTAAATGTATTTTTTAAAATAATGGATATTAATATAACTATTCCGGGCAAAGTAACAGTTCATAGCATATTCATAGTGTATAGTAAAAATTGACATCAATACATCATTATATAAAAAGACCGAGTAATAACTTGTAATTTAATTCAAAGATCAAGGAAAAGTACCTCAAAGAAGTACACAAGAAGACTAAAACGTTAGCTAAAGCTCAATTGGATCATTTTAATATGGACGGGTCTGATGCGTCAAGGAATATGGCCAAGAAACTCCTGGATTCGTATACTAGTGATGCTGCGCTTGCGTTGGACAGTGGAGGCGCGAAGTGTGCCAAATGTGGGGATAAAGCTAGCAAGAAATGTTCGAGATGCAAGACGGAGTGGTATTGTGGCAGGTTGGCAATATTGTAGCTATATATTTAAAAATTTATAGCAGAGAAAGAAAATATAAGCATAATAATATGTTAAAGCTAACAAAAAATGTTTTGATTTTGATTAAACGTAAATCTTGTTTTGCATTAGTCATTACTTGATGCTAAATTTCTAAACTTATGCTTTGTAAATTGAAATTGGTAAATTACTAGTTTTATATTATTTATTGTTACAATGCTGAAGTATTGTAATGGCATCATTAAATTATCAACTTGTATATGCAAACTATAAATACTTGCTTCAGCCATTTTGTAAGATATTATTGGAAGTAACGCTGAACATAAGGATCAAGACAAACTGTACTTTGATCAATACGAAATAGTGTTTCTTTAAGTATATTTTTAAAGTAATCAATATAATTATGTAATTATAAATAACTTCAATTCCCAGGGAATGTCAAGTGCAGCAGTGGCCGAAACATAAGGACATTTGCGACCAGTTCGCTAAACTTTGCGTTTAATTATACTCTTTCTACTTAAACGTGTTCTATTATATTTATAAATAAAACGATAAATAGTTTTTTTGGACTTTTATTATACCTAAGGATTAGCTTGAAGATTTCAGGTAGTCCTTGAGAACATCCAACGCTGGCGTCTCTTCACCAAAGTCCTGGAAAAATTTTCTATGGTCAGTAGAAGATCAAAATGGCGTAATAATTTATCTTAAATAAATTAGTATTTTATTTGATAAGCATGTATGAGTGATAGGAAAGTTGTATGCGTAAATACACTACACCATAGGGTCACTCATATCAATATGGCGCCAGTTTTCGGCACTACTAATCATAAGATAAGTAGTGTTCGTGCATAGCGCGTAGTTTTAGTCTTATAAAATTTTCGTGTCACAATGTTCGTTCCCGTACTCCTCCGAAACGACTTGACCGATTCTCATGCAATTTTGTTAGCATATTGAGTAGTTTTAAGAATTGGCATACATTTTTTACCTTTTTATCATCAACACCTATTTTTTTGTATGCCAGAATAACGTTTGCCAGGTCAGCTAGTATATTTAAATAATAAACTCACTGTGATAACAACGCAAGAGCAACCGACGATTTTCCTTGCTTTGCCGTCCTTGTCGATTTTGCATAAACCGGCCCACTCACCGAGTTTCTTGTTGTTGTCAACCTGAGAAATAGATTTATATGATCAAAAACCTCATAATATATAGTAGTGTATGAAATATTTAATTATATAAATGTCTGGTTGCTAGGAAAGTTGATTCATCATGTTGTGAATCACCATAGGGGCAGACAATTTAATGTATGCTTCTTTGGCCACTTCTGCCATTGAGACAGAGAGGCTCGTGCGAAGCAAATCTAAATATATTATTAAAGTTCATTCTTAAATAATTCTATATATAGGTTAATTTTAATTCAAGTTTTAACTGAATATACATTTAAAATATATGATTTTTAGATTTTTCTATACATTTCAATAATTTGTATTCTTTTTTTACTATGACATACCCTGATTTTTTGTAAAATCATAGCTTAAGGAACAGTTTCAAATCAGAATTACAATAGTACATGTTTGAAATGGCTTATTCCTAATTAAATTGTGGCATTGTATATAATTACCTTAACAAGGGGTATTTGATGTTCATTGCAGAGGGCCTGTACCAATTTCTTGTAGGCAGCCTCGTCACAGTTCTCAGCCAGAACACAGAGAACAGCTTGTCTCCTATAATAATTAAATTAATGACACAAATTTTAACACTATGAATGATTAAATTATACTCTTGAGAGATCTTGTATAAAATTGATTTATTTTAAATTCCTGTTAGTTAATATCTATGGACATAATAGCTCAATTTGCAAAGGGAAAGGACTAGAAAATTCTGTAGGTTTAGAGTTTGAATCCTGATTGTGTCAATATGTTTCTCTTTGAATATTTTCAATCAAATTTTAAATACTATTTTGCATTTAACATAATTTTTATATATATAGATGTAGATGATTTATGTTAAAATATGTTATCAACTGACTTCAAAAAAGGATATTTGTGATTGGTGAATATTTTTTATATATTAAGTATATTGTAGCACACTTGGGAGGCCACAATATTGAAGTAACAGTATTGCGGTACTATGTATATGCATTAATGTAGGCTGTAGGGTAAATCCAACAAAATATATTAGGTCAGATATTTCCACTCGGCACATAACTAGAACAGTTACATACAGAGTGAATATTGTTTTTATTACTACAGCCTGTTGAATTATAAACATAGATAAATAATAAATATACATATATGTATATACTTTTTCTTATATTTCAGAACAATATATTTAGTGTTATAACTATATGTTTATTAACCTTAAATGGTCATTAAATGGTCAGGACTTGATATATTTTACAAAACTAATTAAAATAAAGTAATTATTATTATGTCAATTATAATTTAAGGATCACATGTGCTACACAGATTTTTGGTTCTTGTTGCTTTAACTAAATCTAAACAAATGCAATGGTATATCTTATTTGTTAATTCTGTTCAAATCTGAGATATACACTATGTCATCACCAGCCTATCAGAGCCAATGCTGAGAGGCCTCTTCTCACATGGAGAAGGTTTGAGCATTAATCACCACGCTTGCTCAAGACATATCGGTGATTTTAAACTTATAATTGGACATTATAAGTCGAGGTTTCCTTACGATGTTTTCCTTCACTGTCTTCAGTGGTGTCTAAATACTCATAGATAGTATATACACTACGTAGTATATAAGCTATATATTTAGTCAACTCACTTGTCTAAAGCCTTGGCAGCCTCGTGTAAACCATGAACTAGACCTCCGTGGATGAGAGCGGTCTTTAAAACTTCTTGAAGGGCTGTGTTGACGTCCATAGCGCCTCCGCTCAAGACGGGGTTGTTTGGTACCTCACTGTCGTATAAAACATAGTAAGATTAATAAAAATACATACGTCTTTTAGAGTATTAGTAGTAGGTTACGATGTTGGATTTATAATGAGGTGAATAGTGTTAGTAGTAGGCTAAGAATATTAGATTTTTATTATAGTAACTGATTATTAGAACATGGACCGAAAATTCTTACTTATTAAACATATATAAATACACAACGATGTGAAGTTTAGGTTATGTTGACAGTCAGTAAAATGTGTTTAAAAGAATGAAATAATGCAGAAGGATGAAGTGAAATTTTATCAAAATTACTAAGCATGAATGAAACGGTGTTAGAAATGAAAAACTAAGACCGTGCAAAGAGAAACAAACAGCACTTACACATCAACATCGGCCATGGTTTCTGTCGTTTCTTAAACCTGAAATATAAATTACGTTGTATTAAGATAGTCGTGGACATATTCACGGCGACTTTGTATACGCAAAAACTTTTATGATCACTTTAATTCAAGCAGATTTAACAGAAAACCACCAAAAAGTTTTGACACTTTACCTTGCGTACCGGAAAAAGACTAGGGTTGCCATGTTTACTGAAGAGGTTGATTTGACAGATGACTATTTTTAATGTTGCCATTGCTATTTAAGAGATTTTGTTATATATATTATTTGTGGTTTGACGACAAAATATTATTTCTAACGTGATCGTGTAAGTACTGGCTATTAAAATGACCAAATGACATCAAATTTTTTATAAAAATAAAACGTTATCTTCGTCAAAGTCATTTTGTATTCAACTTTATTTTTGTAAGGTACGTTTTAAAAAGTTTGTGCCATGAAATCATAGTTATAATAGATTTTTACGTAAATATAATACATCAAAATGAAGGTTTAGCATAATATATAAGTTGGTACATTAATACAATGGCACGTAATTCAGATATTTTATATATAACTGAATATATAAAAAATGTGCTTTATTTCGCCACTGTGAGACCAGGAAAAGCCCTTAAAAACACAGAGGACACACATTACTTCTGTGTAGACAATGAATTAATATATGAAAACTATTATTCCGACTTTGGTCCTTTAAATTTAGGATGTGTTTACAAGTATTGCAAAATTCTGAATGAAAAGTTAAAACAGTACTTAAACAAACAGTGCATTGTACATTATACTTCTATGGATCCAAAGAAAAAAGCCAACGCGGCATTCCTTATGGGAAGTTACGGTGTTTTATATTTGAGTTTACCGCCGAAAGATGCATTGGAACCTCTCCTGGTTCATGGCCAATGTTACAGGTAATCAGTTCTTTTTCTTGTTTAATATATCTTAATTGCTGTTGATTAATACCCTGTCTTAAAAAAGAAGGGAGGGAAATATTTTTGTAAGTATAAAAACAAGTGTTACGATGTATTCAAATAGAAATACTTAAACAAAATCTTTTATTAAAATTAATTGTTTCTTCACGGAATGAATTACCATGTTTCGGTATGAGATTCGTAATTTTTCGATTGCATTTCTGGTAGGCACTATCCACAATCAGACGGTCGTCATGTAAACAGTAAAAGATTATGAAATTCAACTTCTCCCCTTTAGTTCACCTTAATTGATAATTAGTCATGTAATAATACGAATTTCTCATCCATTCACGTAAGGCCATTTCAAGACGCTACACAGGGTGATTCAAATTATACCATAACTATAATGGATTGCTTGCAAAGCTTAGCTCGAGCCAGAGATTTGGGTTTTTTCGATTTTCAAGATTTCAACTATCAAGAATATGAAAGATTGGATAAAATACAGGGCGGAGACCTTAACTGGATTGTACCAGGTTATTAAAAAAAAGTTATATAATGAAACCTTAGGATTTTGACGAGTTTTATTCATTTAAATGAAACTGATATTCCGATATACTACGTGACTTTATTTTTGTCATATCTCGTCTGCCCGTTATCACGGTTGGTGAAAAGTAGCCGAAACGTCGGGAGTATGTATTTTTTTTTTTTTTACAAAAAAAGTCGCGTAGTATATCCGAAAAATATTAGGTTCATTTAAATAAAAAATGAATTTCTTGAGAGAGACTTCTTTATCTGAATTAGAAACTCTTTAAAGTGTTGCAATTTAAATAATATAATTATAATACCAAAAGTAGTGTACAGGATACAGAAAACAAGTGTTAGGGCGTTATTAATTTGTATATTTTTTTAGATAAATTTTTAGCTTTCATTGGTCCAGTCGATTACAATCACGTGTCTTCGTTGTACCATCCTCCCGAGATATACGTGGATTACTTCAAAGAGAATAATGTCCAAATAGTGATGAGGCTGAATAAAAAGCTTTATGACAGTAATGTGTTAGTACACTCATATTCAAGTATTTCTTTTGTAATTATTTATATGAAACTTAGTTTTTTGGATACTACGATTTTAGAAAGTCAAACATTTTCATCTCGTCTGGTCATGAAGACGTTTGTTATGAAGGAAACAAAACGTCAGAATGCATTTGAGATAAAAAGAGGCATAGTATCCGAAAAACTTTGTTTTGTTTAAATATGTTATATAATTTTCTTTATTTGATCGACATTATTAAATTGCTAAATGAATATTAAAATATCAAAACATACTTTCAGCTTTATAAACAGTGGTATAATGCATTACAACTTGTTCTTCCCGGACGGGTCGTGTCCACCTCGTCATATTTTATTAAAATTCTTGCAAATAAGCGAGGAATGTGACGGGGCTATAGCAGTCCACTGCAAGGTTATGGATGATCTTAAATCCTATAGTATCAATGTTTGTTCTACTTGTATTTAACGTAGTTATTGTTTAGGCAGGTTTAGGTCGCACTGGTTCACTAATTGGCTGTTATTTGATAAAGCATTATCGTATGACAGCACACGAGGCCATAGCCTGGATGAGAATCTGCCGCCCTGGTTCTGTCATAGGTCATCAGCAGGTAAAAATAAACAAATGACTGCTATGTCTCATTTTAAAGTCGCTTTTAACCGAATTATTACAGAGCTGGCTGGAAGAACTCGAACCGTGGCTTACAAAACAAGGAAATCTTTATAGGTAAACAGGTGAAGATATGCTATTTAAAACTATTTATTATCTGTAGGAACTTATTTGTTTTTTTTGAATTGTCAACCTTGCTGTAGGAGACGTATGTTTCAAGATATGAACAGGCTACCTGTACACGATTATGGAATATATTCTATGGTTGAGAAGGCTAATAGACAACGACCTCTAGTTTTGAGTAAATCCCCCTCGCCACCGCCGCCCTTTCAGAGACAAAATAGAAACGACGTTTCTACTTCCTCTAGGCCGCAAGCGTCAAAAACAAGAGAAGGTACGTAGAATACAGATAATTAATAATAATGAAGCTGTTAAAACCACGGTCCGTTTTTGTTATTTTCACTTAATTATCATATTTTGTCTATGGTTTTTTTTATTATGTTAAGTTTGACATGAGATAAATCTTTATGCCAACTTCATTGGGAAAGTTGAGATAAATATGTATTTTTTTCACAACACTTTTAAACAATTCTTAAGTTCTAATACTTTTTAATATTAACTAAGTGAAAAAAAAGCTTTAGTCATGATTGTCGAGGATAGTAATAGTATATTTGTGGTTTCGTCAGTATACTGATGTATATTAATAGTATGGTAGATAAATAAAATTTTGCAACTGTCTTTAGCGGTTGGGAATATCTTCGTGTGATTTCTTCTTTATGGCTGATTTCTCTTAATAGTTCGAACATTTATAGTTTTTCTTAAAATAATAAACAAAAAATATTTTGTACTTTATGTATTTGTTTTACCTACCTGTGTGTGTATAGTTATTTATAATACTATGTATTATAAACGTTTTATTGTGTACAATTAAATTCTGAAATTTAAATAGGTATACTTCTCTCCGCTGAAGACAGGCGTAAATACTGTTTTTGTCATTCAGACAGTGTACTTTTAATTGTCTATTTAAAGTAACACTGTTTGAATTTGTATTTTGATTTATGTTTTATTTTACCAACGTACTGCCAACATTATAATAAAAAGCAGTGTTATTTTAAAAAAATATATAATGGCCCGGTCCCAACGACTGTTTTTTTTTTCGTTTAGAAAAAGAAAAAGACGAAGACGAATTGTTTATCACTGCTTGCGATTTAACACATAAACCAGTAGTAAATAAGATTACAAAAAAGAGTTCTGTAATTAAAAGAACGTTCTCCGAAGATATATACTCGAGTGACAGTGAATTAGAAAATGTTCCCATATGGAAGAAATATCTATGTTGCCAGCCTTGCAAAAAGTGTTTATATGATAAATTATGGATGTTGGCAGTGCGTTGTGCGAAACATGCACCCAACCAATGCAATAACTCATACAGATGTTGCGTTTTCTTTGACACGGTTTGTATATTAAATTATATATACATTAAATATAAAAAGAAATTGTATTCTTTTCTTATTTTAATACAGCTCCTGGTAAAACGGCCGAAACTGAGACGTCCAATTGGAATGAGCAGTTAAACATTGTCAAAAACGTTCCAATTACAAAAAGGTAATGTTTAATATTAATTCAATATTTCGATTTATTTTGTATAAAAGATAAAACTCGAACGTTATAGGGCATCGAGAGAAATGAGTGAATCGAGATCTCGTCGCAGCGGTGGCGCCGGTGAACCTCGAACGATGAGATCGTCCAGAAATAACACACCAAGTGTAAAAGCTTCAACTAATGTAATAACTGAGGTTAACCTTATTAATTCATTCATTTTAATTTAACTCTTAAATTTGGAATAACGATTATTAAAAAAAAAACCAGCAATAATTAGTATTTAACATTTAAATTAGCAATAATAAATAAACGTTATAAAGATAACATAGCTAGTTTTTCAGCTAGAGTTTTTTGTTTTCCTTTCATGACATTAGTATTTCATGCTATGTTCATACATACATAAACCGTACTGTAAAGTTGTCATTCCTAGCTAAATTAATTGTTTTCCTATATTTTTAATCATATAGTTTTTATATTCAGGATAATTCAGTTAAGAATCTGGGTTGGTGTTGCCCGTTTCGACCGAGCAGTCCTGTCCCGATAGAAACGCTAAGTGACGCTAGGGTATGATTTCACATTATCATTATTTGCGTTACAATTATATATTTATATTGATAAGCTATTTTCTTCGAGAATTATTGTCTACTTACTCCGGTGTTGATATATTATTGTCAGATTTTTATTTAAATCAACTATTTTTAAACATAAAAAATAAGACATGTTAGTCCATTTTTTTAGTTGTGTGCAGAATTGAGAAGAGGTATTTCTAAAGGTAAAAGCTACAGTCTAAATGTATATAATTATGTTTTTAGAAACTTTTGATGCGAAGTACTCTATATAACAACGAAACAAGAGAGAAAAAGTTAGATTCAGCCATAACCGTTAAACCGCAAAATTCAAACAAGCCTTCTACAATTCAAAGGCCAATTCCCGGCACTGTCACTAAAATTCTACCTACAAATTTAAGCCAAAGTTAGTATGCACGTTAATTACAATCGAAGCAAAACGTATAATTTTGGAATTATGTTAAAGTATTTAATACAAATAAATTATGGGATAACATTTAGTTAGTAGGGGTGCAACACAACCGTCTAATCGCCGTCGTCTGGGTCGTAGCCCTAGTCCACCACAAATGAGAATAGAACATAGCCGCGCTACAAATACACCACCGACTGAAAGCTTTTCAACTCGTGATTCTAAGGTTGCTTTAACTGAAGCGTTATCGAGACTTAAATGTAAGTTTGTGTATATCATTATTTAGGTTTCTATTTGTCGTTTCTAAGCTCATATTTTAAAGTAGTTTTTTATCCGTCTTAATTTTAATGCGATTTGACAAAAAGATTTTATAACGAATGCATCCATAAAATTTTAAAATTAGAATGTCAATTGTCAATAATAAGAAAATGTCAAAAGATAACCTCTCAAGGAAGAAAAATATGTTGAAATAATCACCAAAACAATGATATCGTTTTGAATATTAAATATAATAGAAGTATACTAACGCCACTCGAGATGGGTGCTTTAGTAACAAGGGCTCTAAGGCCTGTTAAAGCTTTCAATATAGAGAACCGAGCTCATAAGATAATTTCGAAGGAAAAACCGAAAGCGGCACCAGCATATCCTTCAACGTTCGAAGAATTAAAGAGAGTTAAAGAAGCTGACCCCGAAATTGACAGCAAACTTGATACAAAGGATCCGGGACTTGATGATAGGTTAAGGAATGTTTATGTAACTTCACACGGCCGCCCCGAAGACGATATTACTAGGGAAAAGAGAAAACAAAGTGAGGATCGTCCACTTCCTAGCTTTCGTGGTCAAGTACCAGACTTTGACTTTGGTTTGAAGGAACCTGAGAAGATTCCATACGGAAGGACCACATTACGGCAAGCTATAGACTATATATCGTCACATCAGATTAACCCTACCGAGGTGACAGCCGCTAAAATAGCTTACGAATACAACTTAAAAGAAGACGACGTAGTTAATATATTAAAGTATTTCAAAACATTTGAAGTTTATTTACCAGCTACAAAAAAGACGCCAGCCATGTTTGCGGGTCCAACACAGTTAAGACAGAAACTTTATAAGAATAAGCTGCCGGAAATAGAGGATAAGAAAGTTGAAGAAAATAAAGAAAAAGTCAAAAATGTCTGATAGTTTTGTGATCCGTGATGTTTTATATACATCATATCACAAACTCGGATGAAATTTCTTTCCGAGCATAAAATATTGCTTTAGCCGATAGCTAACAAGATTTTTACTTAACATCTATAGACAATGTTATTTCTTAATAGCGCAACTACAAAATAATATATTATTCTATAATTAAACTTCCACAAAACTGTTACATAGATAATATTTAATGTGATTTAGTTGTAGTTATTAAAATGTTTTGTTTTATACAATCTTTTTTATTTTCATTCATATGTTGATACATAATATAATTTTTTATTTCAAAAATAGCATAAATATAATAAGTAAATATTTTGCTGTAATGGTGAATGTAGATTGTCATTATTTTAGTATTTTGGTTAAAAGTAAATACTCAATCTGATTTATATGTTCAATCTTGCTAAATGTATTATTTCTTCTTATAGTACATAATTTAGTGTAAAAATATTGACATTTATTTAGAAAAATATTCTTTATAATAGTATCAGCACCTCAAGACAGATCGGTAGGTGCATCTTCATTAGGAGCCCGAAGAGATGCTCCAGCAGGTCGAAGGGCCCCATCTGTGCACTCAGACGAGAGGCCCTTCGCAACACAAGGGGACTTGCTAAACAGCATTAAAGTTTGTTTATAACCTTATATTTATTTTGGTTTGTCTTATTAGTTGAAGTATATAAGGATTATGCTGATTGCTGAATCTTTATCATGTTTCTATAGACAAATATTAAACCAAAATTATTGTATTAACACTGAGGTTAGTTGTTGTAAAGTATTTTTAGCTCTATAGTATGTAGGAGCTATTAAAGTTTATTTAATAAAATAATACTAGTTTCTAAGGCATCACTTACAAATATCATCTAGACTAGCAGGCAGCATGGTTTTATACAACTTTTATAACATGGATTTAATTCATAATTAATTTATATTCGCACATAAATTTTCAGTTTCAACGAAGACTGCGGGAATGTTTTGTTGTTGGAAAAAATCTGAACGAAAGGAACAGGTAAACATTGATAAAGCAAAAATGAAATCCTTCATATATTTTATATATTTCATACAATATGTTTTATTTAGTATCACTGCAAAAGAAAAGCCCCTCGTGTTTAAAGTGAATTCAAGAACGATCGTAGGAACGAAAGCTACCGTTGGACAAGATATTAGGTACAAGTATTAGAACTTTATTAAAAGATTTTATATATATTTAAATTTTAAAACTTTTTATCTCACAAGTAATAACAGTACAAGTAGCTTAATGGTGTAAATTATAAAGTATTTCGTGCTTTAAATAGTAAGATATCTTTACCTGTCACTTGTCAGTAATAACCGAATAGAAGTTGACCGTTTATTTATTAGAAAGCTGATGTACATATGTATTAGAAATCCATGTAAAATCATTTTAACGTACATCATATTATAAAATAAATAATATTAATTGAGTAATATAAATAGAGATAAAAAATATCTGAACTCTCATTAGTTTTTTTATCTCTTCAAAGTTGTGATTTAATGATTTTCCGTCCACTAAATTGTTAATATCAGCAATAAGTTACTTTACACGTTCTTTAAAATTCTTAATAGATGATAAATTTATTTCTTAATCAAAATAAATTTTCTGGTTTTCAAAATACATGTGCCCAGGTCTTTATAGAGACACTCCCCTGGGCACCGGCTTTATCTTGAATAAATAAATAAAATAGAAAAAATCATTTCCTATTTTAAATTCATGTAACTGTTATTTATTTTTAATTACTACTTCACATTCTCTTCTTTCAAAATAAAATTAATAACTTGTCTTTGTTACGTAGTAACATTTATTTACTTTGTTATGGCCTACTTAAGACAATTCCACTGTACGCATTATGTTCAATAATAAATATATCTAGATTTCTGGTTATTTATTACATTGTAGATAGCATCTTCATATTTTGTCGAACCTCAAACTGAATTCTTTTCATTATTAAAAGGTTGCTTGTATTTGCAAATATATCTTATTCTTTTTCGTCATTTCTGTTGTTAAATCATCATTATTATTGCAGTGCTTCAAAAGACAAACCTGTGACGTCCGTGTCTCGAGCATTCCACAACCAGCGGCCGTGTTCCCCCAAGGGCAGAAGGTCACCGCATGCGCCATTTTATTGACATAATAACGTGATTTGTTTAAATTCAATGTGGATAGGAAAAATAAATTTGGTACAAAATAATATTATTTTTGAAGAAAAAGTCAGTTTTATTTACATTTAACCTTATTTGATATCTAGTTTATGGTATATACATAATTTAAGCTAGATCTTGTCTATGTTATGCTAGACCCGGGTCGGGTGGCGGGGGCGCCATACAATTGCCATCAGGGTAGCGTTTCTTGAAAGCTGCTATTAGATCTGGGTCTACAAGACGAACGCCGTCCACTTGGTTGCCTAATGTTATCCTGGATCAACATTAAATATATAACTTATTGCTAATTATTATATATAGCCAATTCACAAAAAAACAGCTGGTTTTGCCATGATTAATGAAATTTTACGAGTAAATTTTAATATTTGTGACCAATGATATGTTTGAAATATTAATACCTACTAGGGAGTTAAAAAGAATTTTATATAAAGATAATAACCAGAATGGAGTAAGTATAATTATAATTTGAGATTTTCTTATAAGGACACAATAAAATTTTCTATGCTAGGTGTTTTACAATAGAAATTATATGTCAGTAAGATAATAATTTTACAAAATTCACTGGTATATATTTTTTTGGTGTTAGCAGTCAAAATTCATTAGGAAAATGACAAAAATTGTTGAAAAATTAAGCGCGAAAATGTAAAGAGGTAATGTATTATTATAGTTCTCGACATATTTTAAACTTAACAATCATCTTGAATCATTCATTAATATTTTATACGAAGACGTGTGGAAATTTTACTTAATACCTAGAAATATGACTATAATATATATACAGGGTGACTGGTGAATTACTATCGATATTTGAGGACGTGATATTTGACGATCATATATGACAAAATAAAAATTAATATAACATAAATATTAATAAACTTCTAAGTAAAGTTAACCAAAAGTTATGTAATTAATTACGCATCGTATGAACACCCTACAGATTAGGTGTACACACACATTCACACATACGCGCGGAGGCGTGTTGTTGTATCAGCACGCCTCCGCACGCGTCCACACTTGGAACACTTGGAACGTGTACACACTTTATTTATTTATACGGAAATTTGGTCAAAAATTAAGTACCTATTTTTTTTACATAATTCGAATGAGAATCATGTACCGAGTATGCTCCTTAAATATTGATAGTAATTCACCAGTCACCCTGTATACAATTATTTAATTACTGACCAGTTTGGTTGCACATTATGTGGACGACCAAAAAGTTCTATCTTCCTTGTACCAGGACTAAGTCTCTCTAGAACAAAAAAAAAAAATTTTTAGAGTTTATTAATGTAACAGCACTTGTTTTGTTGAAAAATACAATCTATATAAGTAATAAGAATATTTGAAATAAATTTTGTTGATCTTTAATCATATAATATTATATATAGAGTAAATATGTAGATATTTTGATCTTTAGTTTTTAGTTATTCAAATACTAGTTCTTGCCCGCGACTTCATCTGCGTTAGTTTCATTATTTAAAATGTATAGCTGACCGGCGAACTCTATTCCTCCGTGAAGACAGTAAATAAGATTTTGGATTTGATGAACTTATTTTTTTTTTTTCAATAGTATGAAAAGTATTCTATGTCCTTTCCCTTGTTCTAAGCTATCTCTCCACCAATTTTCAGAAAAACCCGTACAGCCGTTCTTGAGTTACAAAAAGTGTACCTAACACAACTCTTTTATATATAACGATAAAAATGAGAAGAAAAATGAATGTTTTTTCCAAACTTTTCAAGAAAATAAGTATGTAAATAAAAATCAAACCAATTATGCCATATATTTCGTCTGGTTTGTGGCTTGTGGCGCGAACCTCTGCCACAATGACGTCACAATCTAGACCACGATTCAAATTCTCAGGGTTGCCCTTCATACCCACCTGAAAAATAATATAGTTAATTAAATGTATAAGAATTTTGATTAAATTAATTATTATAAAATATGTATATATTTGCGTGGTACTTCTGTAACAAAATGTCTAAAAGTTTTTTGATTGTCTTTTTTTATTCAAAATTTATGTGAATGTATTTACCTATAACACAGTTTATATATATTTATATGGAGATTTTAAGTTCCTAATCAAAACAAAAACTAAAAAAATATATCTGAAATTAATGGCTAACCTAAAAATTATTATTAAAACCTATTTTTATTTAATATCATAGATTACACCACAACAAACAGAATGAAAACAGATATATTGTATCATCTACATATGTAAAGTACCAAATTATTAAAATGATAAACTTATATTAATAAAAATCTCTGAGATACGATATAACTAACGGGAAAACATGTCATTCAAAATATTACTATTAACCAGTGTATAAGCCGTACCAAATAACCCTGGCCCGGGCATGTACGAATGTGATATTTCCGAGTCATATGTACTTTGTAAGAGTATTTAGACACCACTGATTAATGCATTCCCAAAGAGTTGATGTCAGGCAGGCGGCCGGTCGTAAAAACAATTAGCCAAAACGATTAACAACATGTAAGGCAGACCCTGGCTATAGCTGGGAAATTGCCAGGTAGAAGAAGATAATACATACCAAACAGTGTTCTTTCCCATGGTTCAACCAATGTCCGGTACGTCCAGTTCTTATGATTCTTTGTAACTGGTTTGTTTTCACCCAAATCAGTTCATCCACACGCTCATATCCCCACAATTTCAGACACTCCCTGCCTAACTCCATAGCTCTATAATGAAACAAATACATTTTTAAACCAGTATAAGGTGAGCTTTGTATTAAATCAATTTATACATGATTAATATCGTCGGGGATAGTGCAAATACGCGTAACTATTGAATAATTCCGCATATCCACATTGGAAGCAGATTATCAAAAGAAAGTTTGAGCTGAAATTATTTCTAAATTAACGACTTTTAAGGTATTTTTTTCACAATTAGTAACAAATTAAACACTAAACAACTACTAATTGTGAAAAAATTACCTTAAAAATTGTTAATATAGAAAATATTTCAGCTCATACTTTTGTCTAATAATTTGCTCCCAATGTGGATACTAGGAATCATCCAATGGTAGGTACCCAGATTTGCACTATATCCGACGATATGTTAATAACAAAATAAGATTTTATTTGCACATGCTTAATTTATTTTATACATCAGCGGCATTAACAACCAAGATAGAAAAAAATATATAAGAGAAACTGCTCAAAAACTTCATTAGATTTCTTGAATTGACCAAAATATGCTTAAAACACTATAGTAAGGAATTAGGGACTTAGTTAAATATACAATTTTTAGATATTCCTCTGAATCACTTATAGTTTTATTCTAGTATATAGTTATATACTCCACAACCTCGCACATGCTATTAAAATTATGAATGCGGGCATAATGGTAGTATTTCTTGTTATTTAGTTTATTTTTTAATAAGTTTTTTTCTTCAATTCGCGAATTTGAGAGTGCCAATGAAAATTTCATTGCGAGAAGTTTACTTGTTGCACTCAAATCTTATCTTTAAACGAGCAATTCTTGTGTGTATATTTATATATAATCGGAATCGGCTCATACGATTTTCATAAAATTTAGTATATGGGTTTCGCGGGCGATAAATCTATGTAGCTAGGAATAATTTTTAGAAAATGTTATTTTATTTAAAAAAAAAAATAACAAAAAGGAGTCGTTTAAAATATGACTCTTCCTGACATCTATTGGCGAATAGTAATACTACTTTTTGCTAATTTTACTAATTGCTTCACGACACAACAGCAGATGGCGTTGTTAAGTGCCAGGAAGTCGATAAGTGTTTGTTTTTAGGCTAGGCTAAGAAATTAATCGTTGATTGATTGTTGATTGTTTTGTCTTTTTAACATGTTCACTTAAACATGCCTGAACGAAATAAAAAAAAACACAAAATAAATACTAATAATTCCTAAATACTAAAGCTCGGTAATGAGATATATGATAATTAATTGTGAAGTGAGCAATTAGCGTCTTATCGACCCCAAAAGGACGCGCAAAGATAGTACAGATAGTATAAAAAAGATAAGTAAGGTAGTACACAAAGATAGTACTTTCCCAGTATGAGTAATAAAACATATTATTAATACCTTCCAGTCACCCAAAGGAAGATGAGCCCACTGTCTTGAAGCTGTGGTACTCCGAGACATCTCATCTCATCATCAGACATAGTACCGTATGGCAGTTCCATATGAATATCCCATGGAGGATCAGCCATTATTACTGCAAACTTACCTAATGGAAACATTTAAATGATTAATGCTATTCAGTAGTACTAATATTGCTCAATATTCATTTAAATGAAAATAATTTATATATACTACGCAGTTTATTTGTAAAAAACTATACACTCTCGATATTTTTTCTACTTTTCAGCAACCGTGATGATTAGGACAAGATGTCAATGCCTCTTGTTATTTATCGATGATAAAAAATATTAGTTTCATTTAAATGAATGAAACTAGCGAGTCTTAGATGTCACTGCTCAAGATTGTTAAAAACATATATATGACAAGTCATTAGCTTATAATCTCTACTAAAATTATAAAGGCGAAAGTAACTCTGTCTGTCTGTCTGTCTGTTACTCTTTCACGCCTAAACGACTGCACTGATTTTAATGAAATTTGGTACAGAGAAAGAGTTGATCTTGAGAAAAAACATAGGATAGTTTTTATCCCAGACTTTTGAAGAGTTCTCTTGGAAACGCGATATAACCGAACTCCACGCGGGCGAAGCTGCGGGCGGAAAGCTAGTTATATTATCTGTAGTATGTTTATAACTTACCAAGGAAAGTCATGTCTAGATATCTCAAGTCGCATTGTATCCATTGTGGAGGAGTCAGCGTCAATACTCCATCAGCCTTCGGTACTGCGGGTGTACCTAATAACATTACAATATTATACAACCTCTTTTATTGTTATTTCATATTTTTTTTGGAAAAAAAAATTGAAAACTATATACAGCCTCTTTGAACGTTTTATTAATTATAAGATGGATTAAGATCTGAAATAAATTATTATTATTATTATTATTATTAAGCATTATCTTTTTTCAAAATATAACATTTATCTGAAGTTATATATTGCAGTATAATTAATTTTTGTTTATGAAATACGTATAAGAAGTTAAAACTCTTTGAAAGAAGGTAGAATGAGAAGTAGAAACTGTTGGTTCTGTTATCGTAAAAGACCTTGACAACAACTGGTGTGGGTTTCAATAGCAATTAAAGAGGCAACATAAAATTTTATGACACTCTTTAAATGTATAACAAGAAAAAGTAGGTTTTATGCAATTTTTTAATTTGAATATTATCATATTCTTGTAATTAGTATCTAATTATTTATTTTTATTATTTTAATTTACGAAAATCTTAGCTAAAGGCATAAAAATAATTATACCTTACCTGCACATGAGATTTCTTTTAAATATATCAACCAACTTTATTAATCTATTTAGCGTAAAATATAACAGGTTATTAGGTTAAGCTAAATTTTATTATGAATCTATTATTGGTTATAAATACCATTATTCCCCGGTTTAGCCGCCGGTTCTGGGGTAGTCTTAGGGGCTGTTATATTTGGATCTGTATTATCCACCTCGTAGTGAACGTATCTGGAAAATAAATTATATATAAATGAAATCCATAAAGTCAAAGCAATTTCAAATGAAAACTTTAGTGTATTGATTTATGATCACTTTTACCTATGAAGTATTTTGACCCTAAGAAGCTTACTGTATAAAAATGGATAGACTGATGACTTCCAATATAATATAAGAAAAATAATTTTTAATAAAACATGAAGGTATAATTGAAATTCCCGTTTTTGTTTCATTAAAGGTTTTTATTTTATTTTGTCAGTGGTGGCCTAGTGGTGGCCCGCCTGCTGTCCATGAGGGCGCTGGTTGTACTTTCTAAGAGTATTTAGTCTTATTTAGACATCACTGATTAATGCATTTCCAAAGAGGGTTGATGTCAGGCAGGCGGCCGGGTGTAAAGACAATTAGCCAAAACTATTCACAACATGTTAGGCAGATCCTGGCTAAAGCTGGGAAATTGCCAGGTAGAAGAAGAAAAATAGAAAAAGTAAAAGGTGAATATGTAGTAATATTAACCAGTACATTTTTGTCTCTATCTTTTAAGTTTGTTATCAGAACAAAGGTAAGTCAAATATAATATACAACATACTGATTTTTATTCTAGTTTTAATAAGCAGCAACAAATATACCAAATATATTTCTTTCTACCTCTATAAATATTTATCAAACCACCTATTCTTTAAAATCTATTTAATCCTATGTGTTTATATATTAAATCTATGTGTTGATTTTTAATCTATATTCATAATACTAACTTGCAACTATCCATATGAAAGCAGGTATTGAGGAATGAGCAATCACCGAGTGTTTCATCGGTATGATTCTGAATTATCTTCTTGAAGTGAAGTTTCTTGCATGTCGGTGACCCACAGTCTGATCTGGTGCCATGAGGACAAAATTCCATCACCTGGGCACCTATGGATGATAGGAAAAATGATATGATAATGGAAATACGATATGATAATAACTCCTATTTTATTTTAAATGGTTGTGGAACATTCATGTAAATTTATTTGGTTTTTGGAGACTTAAAATAAAAAAAATGTGTGTTTAAGTTTGCAAAGTAATTAATAAGACACTAAGATTCTGTTATTTCTAAAAACGTGTTATGGAACTAAGAAATAAATATTATACTAATAAGAATATGAATTAACTGACTTTAAAAAAATAATGTTTTGTATATTATTGTCAGTAATTAATATATAAATTCTATCTTGTACATAGGTTATAAGGCACATATAACTCATATATGTACATATATATAATACGTAATTAATTTTGTAAACCAACCTCCCTGGCTCTTAAACTTGTCTGCTAGTGATTTCTCCTTAGCCGTTGGTTTACTTAACAAATCCATAATTTCTTCACCAACTCTCTTCACAGCTTTTTCTCTACTAGATGGCATTGCTAATAAAGACTATAAAAATATATATTATTATTGATTACAATTAAAAAAATGTCTCTATAATATTTATTTTTACTATTAAAACAGATAAAAATAATTTTACACAGGTAAAAATTGTACAAAAGACAAAACACTATCTATCATAAATATCTGTTTAACATTATATTTTATTGTAATTTTTTGTATTTCATATTCTTTATTTCTATTCTTATTGTGAATGTACTTGTTTTTAAATTTATTATAATTAAATAAATAGAATTATTAAACTATAATACAGAGTATGTGATAAAAAAGATTATTGCTATTTTAATATTGACTTTTAATCATTTTCTAAGGAAAATGAAATCATTATTATATTACCATAATATCAGCATCATTTTTTCCAGTTTTTTTATCATCTGCGGTAGATTTAGCAACTTTTGGATGGGTTCCTTCATCAGAAGCACTATCACCTGTGAAATGATTATGTTATATTTAATATTCAAAGATGAATTTAAAACTGAATGTACATAATACTTATATGGCTCATGATTAATTACTGATAAAAATATACATATACATCAATTTCCTTGATTTATATGAACTTAACAAATCTTTATAAATCTAATTGCTTTGTATTAATTTTTCTTGTGTATTATACATTCAAATATCTGGCATTATAATTGTTTGTACAATTTAAGCTTCTACTAAAATACTGAAATATTTATTTCATTAAATTACTACTACATTAATTGTTATTTAAAAATTATTATCATATTTACAGAAAAAAAATCCAATCATAAATCAAATGAAAATAGTGTACTAAAGACATTATAGTGATATAAATCTTTTAACTATAATTTTAAAATACCTTTTCTCTTAACTGTAGATGATTGTTCTTCCATCAATGCTGCTAACACCGCAGCCAGTCTAACAGATTCGGCGCTCACGACCTCAATACTGGCATCTGTTGTGTTCTCTGTTCTTTCTTTAATTCTAAAATATTTATAAATATATAATAAATATTATTCATTATATACAGTATAGAATGTTCTTATTAAAGTTTAATTATGTTCATGTAACATGTTAATCAAAAGATGACTGAGAAATACATTTGATGTGATTAAATATTGTATTAAAAACTAAAATAGCGCCATAAAATTAACACTAGTTTCTTAACTCATGTTATGTCTTACAAATTCACTTTTAACCTTTTCAATTCTCCATTATCTTTATATGAAATATCCATAATAATTATAACAATTCACATATGATTAAATAATTTATTGAGTTTTGAGTATGTAAATATAGTCATGCATTTCTTACGTTATAAGTTTCTGCGTTGCAAACTTCTGTAACAGGCTGGCCACAATGCCGGTGTCCACATCACCGAGGCCTGGCATTAAAGCACTGGCCGTGGCCGGCAGTTGGAGCTGCATGTCCGATAAAACTTGGAGAAGCCGAACCTCGAGTGATGCCGAGGGTATCAATTTCGACTTGTCTACAGATGGAGCTGTAACAAAATATATTACATATTAATTTGGAATAAAGATATTGTAGACATGATTCAATAAAAAATTCTGCTTATTATACAACTAAACTAGAATTATTATGATACTAGCTTTCCGCCTGCAGCTTCGCCCGCGTGCAGTTCGGTTATATCGCGTTTCCAAGAGAATTTTTCCAAAGTCTGGGACAAAAACTATCCTATGTTCTTTCTCAACGTCAACTTTATCTCTGTACTAAATTTCATTAAAATCAGTTCAGTGGTTTAGGCGTGAAAGCGTAATAGACAGACAGACAGTTACTTTCGCATTTATAATATTAGTAGGGATAATTTGATATGGAATTGATTAATGTTATTTTTGCATTTTATACAGTTAAGAACGTAAGTTTTATCTATATAATTTCTATTCATACTAAGCACGAAAGTTCTTACTGTCACTTTTAGCGGGCGCGGGGCTAGATGCGGTGCGTTCTTTAACACTAGACGCAGCCGCCGGTCCGGCATCTGTTTTATCAGCACTAGCTAAATTTGTTCCTAAAATGTTTTGTCTCTCCTTCTTCCTTTTTTCTAACTTCTCTCTCAAACTATTCCTCTTGCTTTTGACAGCCTGAATTTCTTCCCAGGCGTCAGACATCGTGTATAAATAAACTTATATTCACTTATCCTAAATATATTTCTTTATAACTCTTTGCTTTGTAGCAAACCGTTGATTCTAATTAAATTTCATTTCGTTTAAGTATATTATAGTTTAGCTTGTAAATATTTAGTCTACTTTGTAAAACCGGACTTTATAACATTTGTTTGAAGTTGCTGTCAAGTGTCAAATAAATAATTAAGCATTTACGAAGCTTTGCTTGTATAATATTAGCAAAACAATGATTTTGAAACACATAGTAAAATTAAGCAGAATTGATAATTATTTGAATTTGAAATAATATAATCAATATAGGAACCATTATTATTAGATTCCAAATACTAAACTCGATTTTATACATTCTTTACAAGAAAAATTAGCCGTACCATTTCTTTTATTTGTTTTTGACATCTAGGTCCAGGCTAGATCCAGTCACCGCCCAGACGCTGAATGCTTAAGACCTAACATGTGGTTGTCAAAGTAACGTGTTTTAACAAGTGTTTTTCCAGTAATCAATATTTATTATAAGAATTTGTTGTACCGTTAAAATGGGAGATAATACTAATGATACTAAGAAACCGGCGATGACTGAGGAGGAAAGGATTGCTCTGTGTAAAAAATTGGACAAAGAACTTGACGATTTTATAGATGGTTTGGAGAAAAAGAGGTATACAGAAGGATGGCCAGAAGACCGGTGGGAGGTTAGTTTCAATATGTTACAAGAAAAATAACAAATTTTGCTCTATTTAAAATTTGTAAGTCATGTTTATTTTTATAATGGTTAAAATTTAGTATTAAAAAAATACGCGGTAAATATAATTTTTTTTTTATTTTTATTCCCTACCAATGATGTTATTTTTTTTGTATATAAACATATATCAAGGTAAAAAAAACTACATTTTTGTTATGGATAAGAGTAAGGTATGAATATGAGATAGAGAAATAAAATAAATACTGGTTTCCTATGAAAATGCATGAGAAAAAAAGAAAATTACTTGGAACTGAAGATTGTGTTACAAAGAATGGCATCATGTGGAAACGCCTTATAGTAACCTTTTAAAAGACAATTCGATATAAGGACATTAAGAAAAGAAAGCACAAATAGTTCTTTATAATTAATATTACAATTCAGCAATAAAGATAATATTTGTTTTATTTTATATAATATTAAAAAAATACTTTGCAGGAGGAAATGGACAAGCATCCGTTCTTTATGAAGTCCACTCCTGAAGATGGTGAGCTATCACCATTAGCCGAGGGTCTCGCCAAACTGAAATATGATCCCGAAGAAAACACTCCATTAGAATTAGCCACCAATTACAAAGACGATGGAAATTTTAACTTCAAACACAAGAATTATCGACTTGCTATTATAGGGTATGTTTAAAATTTGTTAATTGCAATAGAAATCAGATAAAGGGTCAATATAGTTACAAATAGTGTGCTATTTTTTAAATAATTTTCTCTGATTTCAATGTTTGTTCTAACAATTTATTTAAATCTTTCTAACAGTTTCCTTAATTCTTCTATCAATTCTTTAATTGACCAATATGTTCTAAATGATATAAATTAATTTGTAGACATAATTACATTATATTACTTCTCTTTATACACAATAGGCAATTTTTAAGAAAGTATTTAAATATATATAAAGCAGTTTTATGGAATATTCATGTATATACAGGGTGACTGGTGAATTACTATCAATATTTAAGGAGAATACTCGGTACATGATTCTCATTCGAATTATGTAAAAAAAATAGGTACTTAATTTTTGACCAAATTTCCGTATGAATAAATAAATTGTGGACACGTTCCAAGTGTTCCAAGTGTGGACGCGTGCGGCGGCGTGCTGATACAACACCACGCCGCGCGCGCGAGTGTGTGTGTGTGTATACCTAATCTGTAGGGTGTTCACACGATGCGTAATTAATTACACAACTTTTGGTTAACTTTACTTAGAAGTTTATTAATACTTATGTTATATTAATTTTTATTTTGTCATATATGATCATCAAATATCACGTCCTCAAGTATCGATAGTAATTCACAAGTCACCCTGTATATAAAAAAAATCTCCATATGATAAATTGAAAATGAAATAGATTAACTGAATTATAAAAATTACATATTAAGAAAAAATGTGTTGTTTGATTAAAAAATATATATGAATATGATGATATCAAAATGTCTGTAATTTTTTTGTTGCCTTACAAAGTAAATATGAAATTTTATGATGAAAACCAATGTACTGTTTAAAACCAATGATTTTTTTATTCAAATATAGCAATTATCAAAGGCAGATATGGTAAAATTTTAACAATGAACTGTTAAAGACAAACAAATTATGCAAGGGACTGTAAAAGAGGAAGCAAAAAATTTTATGCTTTAAACTAGTTCTACCATTTAATCTTGTTGCATTTGGTTCTTTGATAATAAACCTTTTAAGTTTTTCTTTTTGCCTCCAGGTACACAGAAGGTATCAAGGTAAAATGTGATGATGCGGAAATAAACGCTAGTTTATACAATAACAGGGCTGCCGCACACTGGCATCTCAAGAACTACAGATCAGCTTTGTATGACAGCGAGAAAGCATTGTCGTACAACCCTGAACACGAGAAATCGAGATTAAGAGCCGCAAAATCTGCACTGCAGATATCAAAATTTGATACATGCATTGAACATTGTCAGAAACTTCTAGAACAAAAACCAACAGATAAAGAACTATCTAAACTCATGGCTGATGCCAAAAAGAAAAAGTTACTGGTGGCAAGAGATGAAAGAAAGAAAAAAAAGGTGGAAGCTAAGAAAAGCGAACAGAAGGATTTAGTAATAAAAGCTGTAATAGAGCGAGGTATCAAAATATCCAAATGCGAAGATGAAGATGACGTAGATCTATCAAAATTAGAACCAACTTTACCGGGAGCACAAGATTCTATAGTACATTTAGAGGATGGAATATTAAAATGGCCGGTGTTATTCCTATATCCTGAATATCAGACATCGGATTTCGTGAAAGCATGTCCAGAGAACGTACCATTGATAAGTCAATTGGAGCAACTATTTCCAGCGCCATGGGACGAAGCTAATAATTACAAGGCTAGCAGTATTAACGTTTATTACGAGGGTCGTGATAAAATGCCCCATATAGTTGATCCGAAAAGGAATTTAGGTGAACTGTTAGTTGCTAAATATTTTGAATTGAAGGCCGGTACCCCGGCTTTTTTCGTTATGGTACGCGGCAGTCGTGTGGAAAGCAGATTCCTGGAAAGTTATCTGTAAGTTTATTGTTAAAATTTTCATACTTGTATAGTTTTTTATATTGACTCTTTCTCTCTGTGGTATATTTTGTGAAGCTATTATTTGTTACGGAACTTGGACATATCACGATAATATTGTTGCCAAATTTGTAATTTGTGTAATTCTTCTACTTAATATAGATAGGTTTCAGTATCTGTGCCATTATTGTAGATACATTTTAAATGAAAACAGTTATTTTCATGAGCAAAAACTCTAAAAACAATTTACCCAGTGAATACAATGATTTTATGCTTATAATATTTATGTACTTATATTTAAACTTACCAAGATCATATATAAAAAAATGTATGTTTTTTATTTGTTTTTTGTTTGTATTTCGTTTTTTAAATCATTTTACTGTTTATAAATCTATTTCATTATTTCAGAAGTTGTTTTTTTAAAGTAGCAAATGGTTTCAAAAAGTAATTTTTGTCATTTTTGTGTCAACTATAAACAGATACTAAAATTGGGACAGATGTTTGAAATATACTCACTGTTTTAGAAATATTAATTCTATATTAATATTGCAAATGTGATAGGATTTTGTTAATAGTAGAACATTTTTTGAGGATATATCCTACATATAAAACATTAAGAAATGATACCTATATATAGATGCTCTTCATAACAAAACATACAGGAATATTCTCTGAAAACAGTCAAATTACATTATAATTAATTATTACCATAAGATCATTTTATTATGACAAATACAATTAAAATTAAATTTGAAAAGCCAATAAAATATCTTCATAGTCCTATTAAATATGATTTATCTACACTTATACTATTATATAAAAAAAAGTTTTTAGTAAATATTAAGATTGATAGTGCTTTCAATGTTTCATATCTTGACCACTTATTTCTGGAAATTATACAGGTTTATCTATTTAGTTTTGATACATATAAAATCTATTAGTACTTCTATCATTCAAAATATTATATGCAGTTATTATTACTTGTATTTTAGCGGGAAAATATACTTCATAAGAAGATGAATTGTTTCTTTGTTCAGGAACTGTTGTTATTGTCAACATAATTTAAGTAAATGTTATTTTTTTGTTTTATCTTTTTATTTTTTTGTTAATCCAACCTTGTTTTCTTAACCCTAGATCACTAACCCTAATCGATACTTACATTAACACTAAGCTTTACTTAAATACCTAAACTAAACTAAAAAATTTCAGGTATTATAACTTACTAATTTCCACTCTTAATCTTTGCTTAAACAATAAAGATTAAAATAACATATTTAAATAATTTACATTGAATAATGGAACATTTTGCTCCTGCCATATTGCCTTACAGTTGTTGCAGAAATCAATCGTTTTTTTTTTATTTTACATTTCTTGACTAATTTTCGTTTTGATTATTAGTACCTATTACTTCGTATCTTTCGACAAACCTTACTGGTGAATTAAATACCCTCACCTCCCTTTTTTACGACAAATTCATTGATCTAGGGTTTATCTTTTTTTATTTATCCTTTATTTGTGGTCTTATTTATAGTCTTTTTAGTTTTTTCAGCCACATCCTCCTTTTGTTTATTTATTTTAATTTGAAGTATTTGCTATTTTTGTTTATCATGGAGTTCTAAGGAAAGATGGTGATAGATTCTAATAATTAGGATATTTAATGGTGCTTTTAGTTCTATTTCGCTATGCAAAATCTCTTGTGGTATCGCCAATGTTTAAGATATTAAATTTATCTAAAATCTTGGAATTAATGAAAAGTCTATAAAATTCTCAGTCGATGGCCTGATATGGGTATCTAATTTGTTGTATTCATTCTACTATACGCAATGTATTTGCTTATTCATGTCCACTTGATTAACTACAGAAGCAAAAGTTTATGATAGAGTTTTTTTTGTTTTATCGTAATAAACGCATGAGGTCATTGGTTTTCTGAGCCATTGTCGAGTATTTGTTAGGAACTTATCGAAAAAAACAGCTAATTTTATTCACGTTTAAGAGAACTGTTAAGATTTGTAACCCCCTATTGCAATATCTGATATTTAATATAAAGTATCTGAGAAATTATTTTATGAACCTGTTAAGTTTTGATACCTCTTTTAAAGTCATCAAGGGCACTTTGCAGGAGTTGCAGTACTAAATATTTTGTGTGGGTCTTCCAGTCTTGTAATCGTTGTTATTTTATATCTGTCTTCAACCTTAAATTAGGTAGGGTCTTGGTGGAAGTAGCTTTAAAATCTCTATTGTTGTTGTAGAGTTTATGACTAGGTAAACAGTGTCAAAATATGTCGTGATGTGCAGCAGCTTGCAGTTCTTTTTTTGGGTTAAGTAAAATGTAATGAGTATCCATTTAAAATAAACAGAATCGTAATTCGTATGTACCATGTGATTACCAACGATTAGGGTGGTTTAACTTTTTCCGGCATACACATGTGAATGAATTAACAACTTTGCCCTATTAAATTCTGTGACTTTACCGGGTTTTTTATTCAACTCAATTCCGGATTCATCCATATTGTGTATCTTCTTTCTAGGTCCAAAGAAGATATCAAGGTAAGAACTAATAAAGCAGAAAAGATTGCTGGCTTATACAGCAAGAGGGCTGCAGCACATTGGCAACTCAAGAACTTTAAACAAGCATTGTATGATTGTGAGAAAGCTTTGCTGCTCAACCCTGATGATGATAAAGCAAGGCTAAGAGCTGCAAAATCAGCATTGGAAGCAGCTAATTACGACGCTGCTATTGAACATTGTCAGAAACTGATACAGAAAAATTCCAAGGACAGAAAACTTTTTGAGCTTTTGGCTATTGCTAAAAAGAAGAAGATGGAGGCTCAGACGGATAAAGAATCAGCATTAGTCCTAAAAACTGTAATAGAGCGTGGCATTAAAATATACAAATGCGAAGATGAACATGACATAGATATATCAAAGTTAGAACCAACTTTACCAGCGGCTCGTGATTCTATGGTATATTTAGATGATGGCGTTTTAAAATGGCCGTTGCTATTACTATACCCAGAATATGAAACCTCAGATTTCCTGACATCATGTCCAGAGAATGAGCCGCTGATTAAGCAATTGGAAAAACTTTTTCCAGCGCCTTGGGATAGGGGTAATAAATACTGCACTAGCAATATTAACGTTTATTACGAGGGTTGTGATAAAATGCCGCATATAGTTGATCCGAAAAGGAATTTAGGTGAACTGTTAGTTGATAAATATTATGAATTGAAGGCCGGTACCCCGTCGTTTTTCGTTTTGATACGCGGCAGTCTTGAGGAGAGTAGATTTTTAGAATGTTACAAGTAAGTTATTTGTTAGTTTTTTAATATTCTAGTTTTGTGAGTTTTGTTTCTGTTTATTGTTGTTTGTTAGTGCAGTTTTTTCGCTAGCCACGTGGTTTGGGAATTGTTAAATAAGAAGTATAACGAAATATAATACTTACATCGCGTGAAACGCTCTAAGGCCTAGTCATGTGGTTAGCTTATAGATTGGTTATGTTTTTGGTGTCTATTTATTTTGGTGTTTTGTTTATTGTTGAGAGTCCTTTTTAGTTCCTGAATGTAATTTTTCCTATAATAGCCTTTTGTTGCTTACTTATATTTCAACTGTGATTTTGTTTATTCTTAAGTTTTTTCAATTTCAAGTGGATTTTGACTGTATCGTCTTCTTAACTATTTTCTAAGGAAGCGTCTTTAACGTGAATGATGTTCCTATTAAGATTTCTGATTTATTTTTGAGGCAGTTGTTTATTCTATTTTTCTACCTAAAATATCTACTATTGTAGAACCACTAATATCAAAGACATCAATCTTTCTAAAATTTAAGTATAAATGAACAGACTAGAATATTCTCGATCGATTTTAGTCCGTATCAAGTTAGGGCGAAGCTGTTACTGTTTAGAAATATTTTCTTTTGTATTACTCATCTCCAGTTGACAAACTATTCAAACATATTAATTTTTTCGAAGGGTACTTTGAGGAACCTTCCTTCTAGCAATAGATAAATAATCTTTCAGCTTATCTAAGAGATAAATTCGAATTTTAATTAATTAAACTTTCATTTACTCCCACAAATATTGCCAACTTGAAATCAAATTGTTTTACTTCTTCGTTAGTGAACCATGCTTATGAGCTGAACTTGCGGAATACTATGAAAACCTATCAGTTATAGTATATATAGGAAAAGAGTCATTGAATGTTTCTACCAGGTAATATATGTCTTTCTTTGCTAATCATTTTTCAAACAAATATATCTAATTTCTTTTTTCTCTCCTACTGATCGTATCCCTATTAATCTTTCTTCCTTTTTTCTTGTAATGAAATTCTGTTAGCCTTGCCGCTTTAATAGCGTCGCTGGAAGAGTGAGTGATGGGACCCGCCCGTGGAAATAGGCAATTGTAGGGCCTCTGACGGAGTTAGTTTTTACGGTTGAATGGTATAGGGTGTGTGATGTAAAAAGGGATTGCACGCGGAAGTCTTCAACGCACTTTCTTAAAGATGGTGCAGAAGTGGAAACTTCGTTTACTGGCGAATGCGGTGAGAGTTTTTATAATGTTGTATACGGTGTCGTCGCTACTTAACGTGGTATACTTAATTGTACTAGTAATGTAATCGTCCGGATCAATGGGTACGTTTTTCGGGCATGTGATGAGACGCTCGTGAAACAATTCGGTTGTATTTTTCGTCTTCTGTCACCTAAGGGTTGGGAGTTTAGCGACTTTCAATTTTCAAAGTACCAACTTCTTGAGACATCGCTGTATCGTGAGAAGGTAATTTGGGCCTATTTATATATTTTTTTAAAATGCTGGTGGACGTGGTATGTACTTTTCTTGTTCAATTAGTCTTTTCGTTTTTTAATTATATGACAAGCCAAAGTCACAAATATTTGGGTATATTTTGTTTTAATTGAAACCTTCAAGATATTCACTTCACATAATAGGGCAAGCTGTCGCTTAGCCGTGAATAAATACGTAATACTATTTATTTTGTCCTGGGCGTTCTACATAGTTACCCATTGTCATTACTCCATTAAACACAAATTTCTCAAATGCTCTGCTACTCTCCTTCTCACTTTCTTAGGTGGAATGAGTATTTGAATTTATATGTGGATTTACAAATTGACGAAGAAAAGAAAAATACAATCAAATATCAAATTAATACCGCGGGGTGTAACAACAATCTTAGTTTGGGTGCCAAAATAAGATGGATGGTCCTTTTATGCCAAACAACTATCTAATATTGGTGGCCTGCCTAGTGTGGATGGCGTAGAAAACCCCGCGTCGTAAGACCCCGTTCTATTTTACACTTTTATAGTTATAAGGTGTTATATAATAAGTGTACTAGGAATAATCATTACTGATGAATATACAATAATCAATTCGGATTCTCATGTTACAGAATAATCGTATATGTCGTAAACTATAAGTTAAATGTAAAATAAATGTTGGGAGATATTGAACAGGTCCATTAATATTTAAACATTTCGCTTGTGAACCAAATATATTAATCGTAGGATCATTATTTTATATGTACCTGCTTATTCTTTTGTTGCCAAGTGTTTCAAACACATTGTTTAACATATCATTTTATAGTTTTGTCTGTATAAAATACATTTTTGGTAAGTAGTATCTACGTTTAGGTTAAGTGGAAATGTATTTAACCACATAAAAAATCGATGTACTTGGGACGAAATAAATTCAAAAGTTGTAAGTGTTGATTATTCCATTATCCTAAACTGATTTTTAACACGCTTATATTACCTTGGGTTGTATGTATGTATGTATGTAACGGAATATTTGAGCACGATTTTAACCGGTTTCTCAACATTTGATTAACTTGAAACTTTGCATATGTCTCAAGGACCAATGACAATGCAATAATTCGTTAACAATTTCCCATTATCCTTGTTAGGGCCGCCAGGATTAATATATTCTTTTCATAGATCCTCTATGAGAGTGAAAGGGACAGAGATAGTATGCGATTTGCGCATGTCCACAAAAATCGTACTAAAAATATAAATTAAATAATAGTTTAACATTTAAAAGCGTGTTTTTTTTAAACTATTATTATGTAGTATATGAAAAGTCAATAATAATATATTTAAACGATATATTGATCATTAATCGACATCTGATTCTTCCATCTCGTAATTCTGGTGAGGGTAGAAAGCGCCTGGTGGCTCGAAGGCGCCTTTTTCGTCTACTATAGACGGATATGGGTGATGAGGCATGGCGCCCATCCATTGTGGATACCAATACAAACCCTGGAAATATGCTTTCATTATAATTTACGGAGATTTAGTTGAGAACCCAAATGTTAGGTTATAAGATAACTATCAGATTTGTTATTTTTTACCAATATAATCTTCGTAAATTAAATTAAAAAAGGTTTTTTTTGGATTATGTTAAATATTTGCTTTTTAGAACTGAATAATTCCGATATATGTTCTAACCTTGTTACCTCCCGCAGCGCTACATGTGAATCTATCGTCGTGTAGTTCCACTGGATCCAAATAACTTTTACCGGCTATTGATCCGTAGTTCGGTGGATACATAAATAGACATCCTTCCAATATATCTGCAATATATACACAACATCAGTCTACGATATCTAAATATAGATATTACCTAAAATATGTTCTGTTTGAAGTGACTTATGGAGCAATATATTAATACTATTTTGAAAAATAGAAAATATGGCTGATGTTCATTTTAAAATTAAACAGAATACAAAAATGACCTACAGTTTTATTTATTTATAGAGTCAGTGGTGGCCTAGTGGCAAGTACCAATGTGATTTTTCCGAGTCATATGTACTTTCTAATAGTATTTAGACACCACTGACTAATGCATTCCCAAAGAGGGTTGATGTCAGGCAGGCCGCCGATCGTAAAAACAATTAGCCAAAACTATTCACAACATGTAAGGCAGACCCTGGCTAAACCTGGGAAATTGCCAGGTAGAAGAAGAAGACGAATAAATACATACATGGGACTGTAATATTATCTTCATCTCCATCATCTGGTTTAGGAGTGGGTTCGATGTAAGGAGGTACAGGATCGATACCAGTTCCAGGATCTCCAGGGATCAGGAATGGACCTAAGAGAAGAAAATCACAAGAAGTTTGCTTATAAATATAACAATAATATTATATACTCTGAGAAAATATACCGCCGTAATTGTTAGTGTAGTTCCATTCACAAACATGATGATCACAAACCAATGGCGTATGAGGTTCCTTTGTGTAATATGTATTTCCATTTGGAGTAGTCTGTAGAATACACATTTAGGTAATTAATTTGGTATCATATTATATGCTATCGTTGCTGTAACGATGTATTTGATTTAGTATACGAGTAGGTATTGTTCCAAATAATGTAGGTTAGGTTAGGAATCAAAATTAATTTTTATAGAACGTGATAGCTAAATCAGTTTAGTTCAAATACATGTTCATTATAAAAGTTTCTCATATATTTGTTTTTAAATTATAGTTTTACGTAAGAGATAAAAATATAATACTACAAGACAAAAAGTGGCGAATGTTGTAAATATAAAAGAATAACCAGTAGATAGTCATAATGCCTGTATCTCAGTCCCTGTATGTTGAAGTCCAGTATGAAAGAGCCCGAGGTTATGATGCAGGCAGCGGCAGTCAGGGGTGGCAACTTGTACATCACCAGACCACACTTGACTATAGCTTTTGGCAGCGTTGTGACATCCCTTTCGCTTTGCAGTATCTTTTTGAACGGAAATCTATTGGGTGAAATCTAATATTAAATAAAATTTTTGGGTAAAAAATTAAGCAAATTGATATCTATTATTTTACAGACATTTTCTTTTCGCAGGCAATATTTTTGAAGTATATTTTCGTATGTAGATAGCAAATGTAATGCAACAGCTGTTTTTCTCATGAATTATTAGTGAGAAATAAAAAGTAAGAACGAAACTAGGGCTTGTATTTTCTGATTGACTATAATTTCCTATATATGAACTGTTTTTTTACCTGAATATGCAAATGCCAACGTGACATTCCAAGCCGTGCAAGAAATTATCAGTGGGGAAGGAAATACTTGGGTCATCGATCAAGTAATATTTCTGTTCGTCATGATAATGTAGGAAGCCCATGAATACGAAGGATCTATCTTTGCAATAAGGCGCTATACCACGACCCATGTGGTATATATCGCTGTACAACTCAGAATAGAATAAATAGACGTTCTTTCCGCAGTAGAATTCTGTGAAACATGATAAAATTCCAATGAATGAATGAACCTCAAAATTTAATGATATCATTTTAATTATTTACTGATTTAAATTTCTAGATAATGCATAATAATTGTAATACAACGAAATTTATTTATTTAACTTCTTAAAATGATAATTTAATTATATTACGGCTAAATCTCTCTACAACCTAATGAGAACCTGGGCCTGTACAGAACTTATAATCAATTCATTCTTGGAACGTACTTCGAAGGTATAACCCTAGTAGGTTCGTTTAAAATTTGATTAGGTAGAGAGAGGAGCTTGGAAAGTGGAGGTGAGCGTTTAACCTGCGTTAGATAGGGGCTCCTTAAACCTACACCTGGGTCGCAAGTCCCAGGTACTGTTGAAGCTCCTCTCACTACAACGATGGACGCGACACCCGCACGGTGAATACATTGAATACTGAATTTTCGCCTCTTTTTGCTCACCTTGACTCAAATAAAACTCCATGGGGACTGGTCCACCAGTGTAAGTAGCTTTCCTTTCAGCGGCTATAGCGTTATGGTTTTCGTACATGGCAAGCATATTATCAATGACATCATCCAATGTTATCAAGAGGACCTTAAATAAATTTAAATGTACCACAAAAAATTCGAAGAAAGAAACTAATTCATACATACTTTTAATTCTTGTATGTGCAGCTTTATAAAACGCCCCAAATGATCGGTAGCTATATGGACCCGTTCGTTTATTAAGTACTGAAATTATTAAAATTATTATTTTCTATCATTATTATTTGCAGCTAATATCGCAGTATCTATTTCTGAAATAGTTTTATTTGTTTACTATAAATAAAAAATGAAATTATACACAGACGTAGTTTTAACATATAATATCTAATATCTGGTTACCACGCTTTGCTCGGTATTTAGGAATTATTAGTATTTTTTTTAATATCGTTGAGGCATTTTAAGTGAAAACGTTAAGAAGACGCAAAACAATACAAATCAATATATAATTAATTTCTTAGTCTAACTTCTAAACAAACACTCATTGTATTCCTGGTACTTAACATCGCCATCTGCTGTTGTGTCGTTAAAGCAATTAGTAAAAGCAATTAGCCAAAAGTAGTATTACTATTCGCCAATACATGTCAGGAAGAGTCATATTTTAAACGGCTCCTTTTAGTTTTTTTTAAATAAAATAATATTTTCTAAAAATTATTCCTAGCTAGATCGATTTATCGCTCCCGAAACTTTCATGAAAATTGTTGGATGCGATTTCGAGATTTCAATTAAATATAAATATATACTATACAAGAATTGCTCATTTAAAAATATAAGATGAGTAATTCCAAAGCAAACTATACGAGATGAAAACAACATTGGTTTGATAATGACATATATAAATCATATTCAAATTTACTTGATCTTCGGCAGTCTTGATTCTCATCATCTCGTTCTGGTAGAGCCAGAGGTTGTCAAGTTTGTCAGTTGGATCATGACCGTAAATCTCAAAAGCGTCGATGATCATCGCCAGAGTTAAATTTTCGTTTGGTTCCAAACAACAGGGGTGGTTCCTTATGTTGTAAGGGGTCTAAAAAGAGAGTGAATATTCTATATTAAGATATGAAGTTACTTCAATATTACATTTCTAAGTAGTAATTACTTAATTATGTTTATAACAGTCTCTTCAGAGGTCAGTTGAGATTCGTTTCCTGGATTTAATATGATATGAAATAATAACAATAATTAAATATTATAGAAGGAATGGAAGAACCTATTTAATTATTTTTCTCTCTACAATATTATATTCTATCTAGAATAGCGTTTATTCTTTTCTTTTTAGTGTAGCGTGTATTATAATGGGTAAAATGTTCATAGATCTACGAAATTGCTGCAAACAATACAACAAATACGTTTTGTTTTTGCTAAAGTTTTTCACAAACAACTTGAAAATACTTGCTTTTGGTTTCTTGAAAATAACTTAAAGCTTTTTTAATTACCTTCATAATCAAAAAACCTTTCAAAAGTAAATAAGGTTAGGTTGTATTTCACAATTGGAAGTAGATACCAATGCTAAAAAAGATTCCAGTAGGTTCAAACTACGGTCGTAAAACGGGGACAATTAAAAAAAACTGAATTATAACTTATAAGACAGTAGTCGTCTGAAACAATTAATTTTAACAGTGGTAAAAATATCCTTTCTTTTTTTGCGACAATTCTTTTGTATGATAGAATCTTACTCCCTGGAAAATATATCCTACTTGAAATGTTTATTTAGGAAAAGATCGTTCTGAAACTAGTAACAATTTTCTTAGGCAAACATGAGAGTGGGATAAAAAGTAATTGAACACATTGTTATGACAAAGTTAAGGAATTGAAATTCTATTGTATTAAAAAATATTTGATCAGAATATATATTGATGGAAACAATTGTTTTTACAGAAAACTTTATAGTGCATCATTGAAAATTTTACTTTTAACAGATAATATATTATTTTAAGAATCGTTTTATAATTACCGTTATCTGCAGCAGGAAGCATATCGCAAATAATACTCGCGAACGTCTAAAGCCAGACATTTTGTAATCATGGCGGATGTGGGACTAATAACCAATTACTCTAACAAACAATTTATTGCAATAAAGTCATATTGATTGGTCATTAATTGGTTGGATATTTTAAAGTACCTGTATATAATATAAGGCTGATATTTAATAATATAAATAACTTATTTTTTCATGTCAAAGGTGGCAAACGAGCAGACGGCCTACTTGATGGGCAGTAGTGACCGTCGCCCATGGACATCCGCAACATAGATGTTACGGATGCGTTGCCAACCTTACTTGTGGGGGAAAAGGGAGGGTTAGAAATAGGGAAATAACAGGAAAGGGAGGGAATATTGAAAAGGCAACTCTCAGTCATCGAACGAAACGCAGTCATTACTGACTACTTCACGCCAATCTTCTGTGAGAGGGTGGTACTTCCCCGGTCGAGCCAGCCCATGTTCGAGCTATATTAACTTGTCTGAAGCTAGGCTCTACCTAGGCTCTAATAAATTTAGTAGAGCTTATTTTCATATATTAGGTTAAATAAAACAAACAGTCGAATAACATTTTATAATATTTAAAATACACACCTAAAATTTACTTAATCACAAACATGCGATTGATGTCTAAATATAAGCGCTAAACAAAATTACTTATTTATATTATTATTGTCTTTTAATATCCCGATATGAACATTTTTATTATCTGTTAAATATGCAAACATATATATTTCTTAATCTATAAAACTTGGATAACCATACGATATATAATTCCCAAAAAATTTGCTTTCTATGTATAACATATATATTTAATGGAAGAATTAACAGGATATATTGATTTTGTTCATTTTATTGTCATTTTTTTTTCAGTAAATATAATAAAAAATGTATATATATTTTTTGGGAAGACATTATTGAATACGTAAACATACCTTACCATTGGTTTGAAAGGTCAAATTATACATAAAGAGTTTAAAGATTTTCATTCATACATTTACCTATATATGAAGATTTTTTTTATGAAAAAGTTTAAACTGTTTATGTTAACGTTACAAACTGTCATTAAAGTGTCAAATATCAACAGCGCTAATTCTAAACAAATATGTATAATATTTCTATATTATATGTGTAACAATAATGTTTCATCTATATATTGAAAAAGGTTATATATTGCTTTGTATACGTAAATAAAATTGTATATATATTCATTTGAAATTATTACCTTATATATCTATATATTATTAAATATAATATGAATTTTAACATATTGATAATAATACATACGATTTTCATTTAGCCAATATCATGGAACTCTTTAGACTTAGAAGCGAAGGCAATATTACGAGTATAATGGAAGACTTCGTTGTTGAGAACATTCTAGAATATTTTCTCATTTGGAAGACATTTGATTTATATATTATTATATATAGTCTAATATATGTTTATAACTATGTATATTTGGAAGACTTATAGAACACCATAACATTTAACCTTACATTGAAATTGAACTACGTAAATGAAATCACATCAGACTAGTTTTAACACATATGTCGCAACACTGCGAAACTTACACGGATTATATGCGTATATCTAAAAATAGAATAACAATTGTCTAAAATACTACCAAAAATTAGAACGGCAAGCCTATTTTGAAAGCTTTAATTAATGCTGAACCCGAATCATACATGCCAATAACACCAAACAGCACTCCGAGAGATATTATGAAGTAGTCGTAAGCGATGGTGGAACTTTCTAACTGGTTGCCCTTCAATTTAAGATGGAAATATGCTGGCCAAATAAAACTGAGCATAGTCCCCGTAAAACTGCCGATGAAACCCATAAGTATGGCGAAATGCGGTATGAAAATTGCCATTAATATTGTGAACATTATAACACCCAGTCGCCAAGCCAATCCCCAGACTTTTAATTCACCATCTAAAGCATAAATAGTCGGGAAAATCGTCTTTGGTTTACCTCTAAAGAGGACCCTTTCCAGTAAATCACAAGCTGCGTAGTAAGGAAGGGGATAGCTAAGTACAGCTTTAACCACAAGGAAGAAATTAACCAAACCTTTGAAACCGGCTGAACGAAGATTATTAGTGATCACTTGTTGTGTGTCGTTTTGGAAAGTCAGAAAGCACAAATATCCAAAGATAGATTTGAAAGCAGCTGCTGCGATGTGTGACCAGTTTAACATCCATTCGAAACGAGATCTATCCTCCATATTCCCTTCTAAAGTCGGCAGAAATATTTGAGAGGTATACGAGAAGACGATGACACCTAAGCTTATAGGGAAATTCTCGAAATCTAACGTCCACTTAACCTTTGACCAACCCCAATCGCCGATATTGAGAATGCAATAACCGAGTACGATGGCGTTTATAATCAAATGACTCATAGTACACCAGAATGATAGCATGCTGACGCTTTTCAGAGACTTGAGAAAAGCTAGAGGCAGTAAGAATATACCGATCAGCATCATCCAAGATCGTGTATCAATGGATCCATCGGGGAAAGTACCTATCATGAGATCTCCGCACACAACGACGTACAGTATACATGTCATTAGAAGTTCGATAATCTGAGCGATATTGACGATCCTGGCGCCGTACTTTCTTCCAAAACACTCCTTTGCAATACTGACATATGAATCGCGGACGCGAACACGTTGTCCTGATACGGGGTCATCTTCATAGAGACATTCAACAAGGATCTTGCCGGTGTAGCAGCAAATATGGGCAATTCCGATCATGGCAGCGATAGCCCAATAACCTCCTTGAAGCACGGCAAATGGTAGAGACACCACAAACATACCCTGAGAATAAAGATGTTTTCTTATATCCTAATAAAAGAATTAATACAGACCAGGAATCCATAGTTACCTGGATGGCATTAGTAACGTTCCAAGCGGCTTGAAATTCGTTAATCTTAGCACCCGGCTTGCCCCCTCCTTCTTCAAAACCTCCTTCCTCAGATGATGCATAGAAATCAACGCTTTGCATGCTTTGCGTTCTGAAACAATAGATTAAACTGTTTTGTCAAAAAAAAAAAAAACTGTATGTAGATACTGTTAGTGCAAGAATTTTCAGTGTATTGTAAAAATGGCTTTAAATAATTCATGAGAATTATCTCAAAGGTTTCGTCTCTATAGTTGTAAAGCTGAAAGGGTTCGTCTCTTAGGTGTTAATGTATTTTTTTGTACCTGGGTGCTCCATCTTGCTGAGGGTATGTATTCTGGTAACTTGTAAAGGAGTCTTCAGCTTGGAGCTGTCCGCTAAGAAATGGGTTAGTTGGATTCGTAGATTGATAGGTCGGGGACGTCGTTTCATTCATTGTGGATAGCTCGCAACTTTCGCCCATATCTATAATAAAATATGCATATATTTTTATCACTGGCTAAAAATTTTACTTAAATTCTTATGTAATGTTTTAGTTATTTGACATTTATAGATATTTGAAAAGATAAAAGTAGTTCTGTCAAAATAAAATAAAGATTTTGAAATAACGAGATTACCTGCATTTGCAAAACGGACATTTTGTGGTGGTCTTGACGGGGCGCCGGGTTTGTCGGGCACCTGCTGTCTCACAGTCTGAAGGGCCACATCTAGCACATTTTTTATCGGAGGCAGTTTGATACGCCCGAGATTCATCATTTTGAATTGCTTCTCACTTTTATTATACTTATTATATCACGAGGAAGACAATAATTAAAACTATTCACTTAATATTAATTAATATTAATGGAAGACTTCGTTACACTACACTATTTGAGACTTACATTACTTTGAACTTATATTTTGGGGCAGCCATATTTGTGATTGCGTATACAATATTCCCCATTTTATTTACAATATATCAAGAATATAATATTAAATTATATAAACTGTATGGTTGTATGCAACCATTTTTATAGGAATTTCTTTGTACAATGGTATGGACTGCCTTGTTCGTGTGACTAGTATGGCAGAGTCGACGCAGAAGGATGCGCGGGAAAACGATCAATAGGAACAAATTTGTCTTCGCAAAATCATATAACGAAATATAGGTTGCTTTTATAAAATTTGAAACACGTACTCCAGCAATTTTTATTACGATATTAGATGTTACAATGGATCTTTATTACACTCTTTAAAGTTACAAGCACAGCTACTTATAGTTTATGATATCCTAGTACTTTTTAATCACAATTTCGATACATATTACTCGTAAATGAATGATTGATGAATTCATATTTGTATAAATTTTCATATAATAATTTATTTAATACTATCTATTTAAAAAATTCCATATAAAAATAACAACTTTATAAATATACGTTTTAATTTTTATTTTTCATGAAAATAATTGATCGTTAGTCATATCGTGTTTAATACAAACATTTTGTTAGAAATGTTTTATCACGATATGGTTCTAAGCAGTGTTCGATTTTTAGGAATATTTACTTTCTTAACATGTTTCTACAGTACTGTAAGTAGATCTAGACTTATAATATAAAATCTAGACTTAATTAAACATGATTAATTTTTAGTATGGTTACGATATCCGTCGTCATCCTTGCTGTCAAGAGCCAAGCGACAATATAACTCTTTCTATGATAATAGACGCCTATGAGATATATGGACACGACCCGACTGATAAATTAGATCACCTTGCTCATTATCAGATACAAATGATGAAGATTAAAAGGGCGCCGGATCAGGTTTGACTCTGGGACTATATTCGCAATTATTTTTACTAATTTCAAATTTTATAAAAAACCGGACAACTAATTATATTCTTTTAGAAGTTAAGAGTTATTTAGGTACTTTTTAATAATGTTATTTTCAGTATATAATAAATGAACACGTACACATAGCTACTGATCATCTCGGAAGATTTATAACGATGCATATCAAAGAACTTAAGGTTCGTAATATATTTTATTTGACAAAATACATTAATTGAGAGTATATTTATTAAATTTATATGTATACATGATATAGGTACTCCTCATTGCTCTGGACGATGCAATAGATAATATGCTAACTATGTACGATAATCACAACGCTATAAAAACTGAACGCGTGGCCACTTACAACTCAGGAGCGGGCGGTGCTGTTCCTTCAGAGTTTTATATGAGTCAGGGTATGATATGTTCATATTATATATAGGTACAAGAAAGTCGTGTTAGTTATACTGTTTATAACTTAAGAATAGATGTACGGATTTGACTAGAAGTTTGTGGGAAAGTAAGTCGGAATCAGGAGACGGACATAGGTATTCTTTTGAATTCGTTCGACTAAAAAAAAACAAAATAAGTTTATTTACTGCCTCTAAACAAAAACAACAAACCACAAATCGAAACAGTCTTATTAGTTACACTATTTATAAATCAAGAACGGCTGTTACGCTGGAAATTTGTGGGGAGGTGGCTTAGAATCAAATGACAGAAATATGATATTTAATTCTGTCCGATCGAAAAAGAAAAAAAACTTAATAAGTACTATTATCTGGAATTTTTCGGCCTCAAGGTCGGAATAGAGTTCACCCGGTTTAGTAAAAACTAGTATTATATATTTGTCTGTTTCTTTAATCTATCTAATATAGTATACCAGATTTATTATCATAGCTGTTTATGAAATTCATAATTTTTTGGGCGATGTAGGTTAAAACTTTTTAGTTTGCTAGGACGGTAACGGTGGACGCTCTTTAAATACTTTTTATACATTAAAAATATTGATGGTGTGGAAGAAATTTTTATGGAAAAATTGATACCAAATACAGGCGTAAAGGACTATAAATGTTAATTTGACAATCTCAATTTTAATTTAAAGCTGTTAAAACAAAACTTGTTGTGTAATAGCATTATATTGGTAGTAATTTCAAAAAGAAAAATAATTTTGTATTAATTGCGTCAAATGTATAATATTTATCAGAATTCTACTGCGGAAGGAATGTGTATCTTTTTGTGTCGGAGCTATACAGCGATATATACAACATGGGTCGCGGGATCACGCCGTATTGCAAGGGAAGAGGTTTCCATTTCCTTGGTTTTGTCCATTTTATGAACGACAATAAATACTTCTTAGAAGAAGATCCGAGCATATCATTCCAGATGGACAACTACATTCACGGGCTGGAGTGTCATTTGGGAGTTTGTATTTTCAGGTTGGTTAAATTTTAGATTTCATTTTGAGGACTTTTATAATACTGTACTACAAACATTAGCTTATCTATATTTTGTACATCATCATCGGCCTATAGGAGCCTACTGTTGAGCAAAGGCCTCTTCTTACAAGAAGAAGGTTTGAGCTTTAATCACCACGCTTGATCAAAACGGGTTGGCGATTTCCAACTTACCATTTGAAATTATAAGTCCAGGTTTCCTCAAGATGTTTTCCTTCATTTATCAGTGGTGTCTAAATACTCTTAGAAAGTACATATGACTTAGAAAAATCACATTAGTACTTACCAGGTTTCGAACCCGGGCCCAAATGCAAGAGAGGTGGGTCGTTAACCTCTAGGCCATCACGACCACGTACGTTGTACATACATATTTTGTCCGTATAATTTCAAATATTTGCAGGTTTCCGTTTAAGAAGAGCTTGCAGCACATCAGAGACGTCTCGACTCTACCGAAGGCGATAGTCAAATGCGGTCTTGTTATGTACAAACTACCCCCACTCACTGCGGTTTCCTGTATCATAACTTCCGGTTCATTTATATTAGATTTCAATATACAGGGAATACGGTTCAGGCATTACGATTATATGCTGGTAAGTAAGGAATCAGTTCTTTTTAGTTAAAGGTATTTTTATGATTTTTATTGATAATAACACGTCATTTTCAGTTCTTACCAAACGGTCAATCATATTATACTAAAGAAAAGTTCACACCTCTCGTTTGCGACCATCACGTCTGTGAATGGAATAATACCAATTTCTACGGAGGTATTTTACTTTTATCATTTTTAATTTAACAGGAGTTTAATCTTCTATATATATAAAAATGGATTGCTGTTCCTTAGTCTCGCTAAAACTCGAGAACAGCTGAACGGATTTATCTTATCTTAGTCTTGAAACGTTCGTGGAGGTTCAGGGAAGGTATAAAAGCTGAAAAAAAATTGATTCATTACTGGGAAAACCATAAAAATAGCCCTTTTCTATTTCCCATACAAACGTTTTTTTTGACATTAGATTTGACAACTAACTAATATGTCAATCATTCTGTCGTACTTCAAAACACGGAGATTTATGGCTTACAGGTAAACTCCAAAAATATAAATAAAAAAACGTAATAGATATTTCTTGATAATAGGGCGATACGAAGTTCGCCAGGTCTTCTAGTCTTTATATAAAAAAGAAAGTTGTGTTAGTTACACTATTTATAACTCAAGAACGGCTGTACTGATTTGGCTGGAAATTGGTGGCGAGATAGCTTAGAACCAGGAGACAGACGTAGGATATTTAATTTTGTTCATCGAAGAAGAAAAAAAATTAAGTAAATCAATGCTAAAATCTTCGTATATACTATCTTTAAGGAGAAATAGAGTTCGCTCGGTCAGCTATATATTTCTTTCTGAATCTGACGCAGACAAATTCGCGGGAAAAAACTAGTTTATTATAATTTAAGTTTTGTTTTATTAATATCTTAATAATGTTTCAGGTCCGTTCATAATACCCGGTGATCCTGGAACAGGCTTGTCTCCTATTCCGCCGTTTATCGATCAAACTACTGAGGCTATAAGAGTGTCAACGGAATATCCACCGGGCCCAGACTACACTAATATAACATGTAAATCGCATATAAAATCAACTCAAATATAGGTTAATATTGTTCTAGATAATAGAGCAAGTTCCCAGGACTGCCATACGTCACGTATTTACTGACGGTTATTATGTACTATGATCGTATGCCTACCTGATAGGTTGGTCAAAGTGCCAATTAACGGGTAACAACTAACAATAGATCAAGATACATAAAAACGTTACTTATTTCACCTAAATTCTCATGGCTGATTTTCATATATTGTATAAAATGTTACCTGTATTAAAATTTAAGTTGGCAATACTGACAGACATATTCCGTCGGCCATATTGCTTGGGAGTTAAGAATGTGGCATACAATGTTATATTTGATTCTTAATGATATTTGTTTATGATTTAGATACCAAAATGTATGAATTAGAAAGGATATTTTTGTAATTTTTTTTAAGCCAAAGGTGAGCAATAAAATGATCTTCATAGGATATAAATTTATATAAAATTTAAATGTTTAACAGATAGTTTAGACGGCTGTTGGTTCATGTTCCCTCCTAACTACGGTTCCATCGCTGGCGTCTCATATTTGGACCCGCTCACAGTCAATGAATACAGATACACGTGTTCGGGCGGGAATAATAAGGTTTGATATTAATATAATTAATTATTGATAGCCAAAATCGGGTTAGATGTTGCTTTTTATTAAATTTTACACCCATTTGAAGCAAAGGGAGCAATAAGTTCATCGTAACTTCGTAATTATTTGCACTTATCTATCGATACTATAGAAGAGTATACTAAATGAAGTACCTATTATTTAAATTACTTCAAAAAACTCTTGAAATGCTGTAGTATGTATTAGTTTTTAGGTGATTTACAAGAAAAAACCAGCTCAAACCAGTAAAATATATATAATAATATATTGAACTTTTCCCAAATAAACAAATCCATTCATTTTTTAGTTTAACGTATTTCAATAGATTAATAATACTCCTCTCCCTGAAATAATGAACCCGGTACTCGCACGGTGAATATATTGAATGATGAGAAATTTCGTTTCTATTGTTCTTTAAATTTGTTTTAACACTCCACAGGGCTTGTACTGGTATCCACAATGGATGGGTGCCCCTCCTCATCATCCATACCCTCGTTCCGGGGATGTCCCCGATGGATCGGCAGTCGTCCCAGGGCCATACTACCCTCACTTACAAGGAAACTCCGCGGATATGAACTTACATATTGATAATGAATAAACTATTGAAAATAAACACGTATTATACTCATTATCTTCTTCTATCTGGCAATTTCCCAGCTATAGCCAGGGCCTGCCTTACATGTTGTGAATAGTTTTGGCTATTTGTTTTTATAGGTCCGGCCGCCTGCCTGACATCAACCCTCTTTTGGGAATCAACATTAATCAGTGATGTCTAAATACTCTTAAAAATTACATATGACTCGGAAAAATCACATTGGTACTTGCCCGGACCAGGATCGAACCCGCGCCCTCGGCAAGTAGAGGCGGGTCCTTTAACCACTAGGCCACCACTGACTAATATTATAGTCATTATATATCATTTTTAAATTATACATATATTATTTTTTAATTTACATTAAGTTCAGAAATTCAGAAAAGTGTTTTTTTCCACACGCTCTATAAAATTATAATACGTTCAACAAATAAAAACGTTAACGTTAACCAAATGTAACAGTTCCAGTGTGATTGAATCTAAGGCGTAATATTAAAATATCACAAGAAAAATGGTCATCCGTAGTATCACTAAAATAAAAATCAATAATAAAATAATACCTTTATGAAAACTTTAATTAATGGAAGGATAGAAAATTTTCGAAACAAAAGTTTAAATCATTACCTGTACAATTTCTCGTTTCTTAGTTGTGAAGTGCAATTAATTTATAAAAATATGACAAGTTTGGATTAACTCGCAAGTCTTTTCTTTTCGGATATACTACGCGGGCTTTATTTTTGTAAAAAACTAAATAATGACGATGTGTCTGCCCGTGATCGCGGTTGAAAAGTAGTCGAAACGTCGGGAGTAGTTATGTAATTTTTACAAATATAAAATACACGTAGCGTAATCCGAAACATATTTGTTTCATTTAAATGAATACTTGCGACGCCTAGATCTCATTACATTGTTATCTTCGCAGATAGACGTAATATGTAAAAGTGATGGAAGTGTGTGGAATTAATTTTATATAAAAATTAAAAATTAAAACATTTTTTCAAAAAGGAACGTATGGTTTCGCTTCACTATTAACATTAATAATATTCATTACAAACTTTTGTTACTGACAATGAATACTGCATAAAATCCTGCTTAGGTTTTATATAAGTAATTAATTTTAAAAAAAATCGTAGTTATATTTTATTTGTTAATTGTTTAACATTACTTTTAAGTATCAAAAGACAATATTCAATTTTCCAATATATAGGGCGAAAAACAAACTAAATAATTTTTTTAATAACTTTATTCATAGTTCTTAAAATAAACAGTACACAAACATAACGAGTATATGTCAACCTTCATGTTCAGTTGTTATGAACCAAATAATAACTCAGAGCACTTATAATTTAAATGTATTCAATAATCCTAAAATTAATTATTATGTATTTAATACTACATACATCGGTTATCACACATCGGTTAAAACTTTTGACACATTGTAAAACAAAACGGAATGGGTTAAAGTTTTTATAAATATAATATATAGGTAGACAATATATTTTTTATATGTATATAAATAATAATTTAAATGCAACAAAATAGGTTATATTAAATGAAAAGATAATGGCTGAAATTTTGTATTCATTTTCTGGAAGAGGAAGGAATTAGTTTGTTTCATTAAAAAGGTCATATATTTGAATATTGCAATTACAATGTAATAATTTATCATTTATGTATATAAAATATTTTTTTCTATATCATGCCTAACATATTACATGTTAGTATCTGAAAATCCTATGTAAAAATTATCAATATATTCTTTTATTGCACTCAATTTTGTGCACTCATTATGGTGCTAAAATTATGTGATCCGTCTAAATCCTAAATAAAATGTAAAATCTAAACCATTTTTATAACTAAGCTAATAGAGTTGCCAGTATGTTGCTATTATACATCTGGGTTGCCAGTTGCAAATGTCATTCAATGATAATATATTTAAATACTTTTATATAGCAGCTATTAAATAATACTGGCAACATTTTTATTTCTCAAACTTCTCCCAACTCTCATCTGAATTGGCGCTAGCGTCATCTTTAACCTCCTTTTCCCCAAAATAATCCTCAACTAAATTATTTCCACATTCATCCGTTTTAAATTTTTGTGGTGTTTTTATATTCTGATTCGTGTCTGTTAAATCTTTTTGTTTGTTATTGTTTATAGAATCTCGGTTTGATTTTCTTTTTGACGTGATTTCCTTTTCATATTCTTCTAGAAGCAGTATTTGTTGTTCTTCGGTTAATTCAAGGTCATTTGCAAAATCCTCTGAAGATAAACAGCGTTATTTAACTCTTATATCTATGTTAATAAGAATTATTTTGCGTTACTTACCGTCCTCCCATGTAACATTGTCGGTGTCTGGTTCATTATCATCTGTGATAATACCAGACAGCACTTTTTTTGGACTCCTGAAAATATATTGATAAGTAATCAAAAAGTTACAAATAATGAAATCTATGACTTTCGATATTTCATTTAAATGAATAAAACTAAAAAATGAAGCTATAAAATATTAGTTTCATTCAAATATGTAGTTACAAATAGTTCATTAAATTCAAATTACTGACTTTTTTAAAATACTAATGTATTATTAAACTTGGGTAAAATATGGTAATTTGCACAATATGTTACAGAGACCCAAACCTATTATAAAAATTAGATTATCTTTGAATTATCACTTGATCTCATTTTTTAACGATATTATTAAAGAATATTTTAGACCATGATTATTAGAAAACTTTACAAGACTCATTGAGATTCTGGATAGATCTTGAATGGACCCTAAATAAATGCTGAACAAAATACGATGAAATACTCACTGATCTACGACTGGTGGTAGGTGAGCTAGGACGGGGTCACTCGTGGTCTGAGGAAGACGACGTGAAGAAGCGCATAGTTGGTCTTGAAGAAGAGCCACTCGGAACAGATACCTGTAGAAAAAAAATTAGAGGAATTATAGGAATTTCTTTGGATAGAACTTCAATGTAGTTAATTCAACTTATCTAATTAATAACTGAATTATCACTTTGTCAAGCTGTGATTCATTACGCTATCGGCAAAACTAAGTAAACATGAGTTCACAATCACTAAGCGTTAGCGGAAGTGGGTTATCATCGGATTTACGAACTTGTATATAAGATTTTCTCATATACTAAACGTTTTATAATATTTTTTAACTACATATTCCCAATGTTTCGGTTTCTTAGGATCTATTGCAGCAGCCGTGATCACGGGAACACATCTTCGATGTAGTTAACTCAGCTTGTATATGGACTAACTTTTTCCGATATACTACACGTTTTTCATTATTTAATAACCAGATTCTATTTCGGTTCCTTTGCAGCAAGCGTGATGAAAATATTTACTTAGTTATATTTAAATGAATACACACTAAAATCTTACATATCACTATATTATATTGAGTCTTTGATGCTAAATAAGTATGTATTGAGAAACTCTGATAGCTGTCTTTAGAGGAGTGTCACAAGAAAAGAATTGATAAAGGAAATGAAAGGTTTTGTTCAGTTCAGTTTGGTTAGCTTGTATTGTATATAGATTGAATGTAGTCAATGCAGCTTTTAAATGAATTTTTGACAATATGAGATAGAAGAAGCTATTACGGCTAAATTTAGTGTATGTCAGAAAAAAATACAAGCCCTTCCAATGAAAAATCCTATTTTTATTATGTCTATAATACATATTGAGTGTAAGTAGAAATATAGTTGAATAGCTTATGTTTATTTAGCATCATATGACGTTATTTCATTAATACTACTAAAATACTAGAACAATTATCAGAATACTCACAAAATAGAATACACATATATTGTTAATTTCTAAAACTTGATGCCATCTGTAATTATGAAAGGCCTAGAACACTTTCATCCATATTTAAAAGTGTCTACATAGAATATTCGAACTATGGACTATTTACAGCAATTTAATCTCTATTTCCATAAAACAATTCATTCTTGCTATTAGAATACTTCATCTATAGAATGTTTAGGGCATTTTAATCTTTATTTCCATTAACATAAACTCCATTATCGCTATCACAAACCTGTTCCAGAAATCCTCATGTGATACAGCATCAGGGACTAATCTTTCATACTGTTCTTTCAACACGGGACTCGCTGCCATACGTCTGAGAGTCTTCTCTGGTGATTCTATACCTGGGTCCAGGGTAGCGCGCCAGGCATCGAACTCTGGACAATCCGCTGGCACTATATATGTTGCATCTACACGTTGGAGGGCTTCTAGTTCTTTCTGTGGAACATAACATACAAATTTATATATATGTACTAGCTGACTCGGCAAATGTTGTTTTGATATATAAAAATATAAAAACAAAAAATTTCGTCAAAAAACTAATTAAGGGTGAACAACCCTTATGACTTATTGAAATGAAAAATAGATGTTGGCCGATTCTCAGCTCTACTCAATATGTTCACAAAATTTCATCAAGATTGGTCCAGCTGTTTCGGAGGAGTTCTCTGTCTAACACCGCGACACGAGAATTTTATATATAAGATATCGTACTTATTCACAATTGATTTAGTTAAAGTTTATCTATTGCATGTAAATAAAAGATATTTTATTTTAATTGACTTGAGAGCTTTGTTATTATTTTTTCACAATCAAGTCATGTTAGTCAACAAACTTTCTAGAAATATAGACGATAATGGAAGCTGAATATGTTAAGATATTTGAAAATATCAATCTTAGGAGATTTAAAAATATAATTACAAATTTAACTAAACTTTATAGTTTTTAGTGGAAGATACACATTTTAATACTATAAGCTATTAATTATATATCACAACATATGAACAAAGATACTATCAAATATAAAAATAACACAAGGTAAAATGAAAGCAACAGTTAACGGCTTCATATAAATAAGTACATACATACATTATTTTCTACCTATTTTTTTATATTCAAGCTTAAAGCCAGCCTAAAACCTTTAGGGTCTACATTCTTCCATGGTATCTATAAAATAGTATATTACACTCTAATGACAAAAATATTATTTTTAAGCTAAACAATGTCATACAACATTAACTAATATAGAGATGAAAACTTAAATTTCTTTAATTAATGTAGGTTTTTAATTATTTTGAAGTAAATCGTTATTCTTATATGTACACTACCTGACCCGGCAAACGTTGTTTTGCCATATAAAAAAATAGGGGTTGAGATAAAAAAGTATAAATTTTGGGATGTATGTATTTTTTAATGCTACATTATTAAAAAAAAATTCGTCCGAAAATAAAAATAAAAAATTAAAGGCGAAAGACCCTTATGACTTAGGGGTATAAAAAATAGTAATGGCCAATTCTCAGACCTACTCAATATGATCACAAAATTTCATCAAAATTGGTCCAGCCGTTTCGGAGGAGTTCTCTGTCTAACTCTGTGACATAAGAATTTTACATATAAGAAGATGATCTCACCTTATATGTTGACAACATGATGGTGTCTCCGGATGACAAGATGACTTCTGTATCATCATCGTCTTCTGGTTCAGGGTTCAATACTGTGCTGACTTGACCTGAAACATATATATACATAATAATATTGTTTGTCTGTTTGATGCTATCTTATGAACTATGGATTTATTTAGTATTCACATGTTATCTTTATATATATAATTCTTCTGTGAGTGTGTATGTCACTGAACTTCTCTCAAACGACTGGACCGATTTTGATAATTTTTTTTGTGTGTGTTCAAGGGGATCTGGGAATGGTTTAGATTTACAATTTTGTCCGCTGGACAATGTTTTTTTAATTAATTATTAATTTATTACTAGTTGTTGATACAAATGTTTTTTTTTGACATAAGATTTGACAACCAACTAATATGTCAATATATATATGTATCAAGATGATACATACATATTTCTGGAAACAGGATGATTTGTTGAGTTTTTACCATTTAATTTACTATATGTTAGGTTTTAATATCTGCTGGTAGATGTTGGTTACAGGTACAAAACAATGAGTGATTATTCATTACTTACGTCAATTAACCTAAACTTACACCTTTTTGGCCATATACCATTAAGAAAGCTTATGTTTTACTGGAAAATCTAAGGATGTGGCACAGTTTAGGCAGTTACAGTAACATATATATAAATATGTATAAACAAAAAATAATTAATATATAACATACCTATAAAAGTGCTTAAACTTTTCTTCATGACATTCGCTGGTGATTCAGGAACATCCAACTGTAAGAATTAAATTTGCTATTTTAATATAGACATATTACCTGGGTTTGCATGGCATTCCAAATAAACTCTTATTTATTGTATGTTGGTTACACATCTATATAATATATATTAATTGAAAAATATATTTAATGAATAGAAAATGATATATTTGGCAGACCCTGGCTAAATCTGGGAAATCGCCAAGAAGAAGATAGAAAATGATATATCTTTATTATAATGTTTAATAATGAATAATATTTCATTGTTAGAACTGCACTGATTGTGGTTAGTTAGAGAGGGGAGCTTGAACAGTGGAGGTGAGCGTTTAACGCGCGTTAGATAGGGTAACTTTAAACCTACACCTGGGTCACAAGTCACAGTCACTGTTGAAGCTCCTCTCACTATAACGATGGACCCGACACACGCACCGTGATTACATTGAATACTGAGAAGTTTTAATCTAATCTCTGCCTTGATTTTCTTTATTTATCAAAATTATGACTTGGTCATTTAAAAGGATTTAAAAAAATTCTTATTTTAAGCAATATTTATTTACTGGTTTGTTTATTTCTTTTAATATTTTCTTAGTATGTTTTGATTTTCTTCTATTATCTTATGTATTGGTTTAATTATGTTATTATTAAGTGTTTTAAGAAAGTATGTCTAATATCTCTTATACCCATGTGTACCCATCAATAGAGTTTGACAAAGATTGAAACAACATTGAAGATTTATGCTGCATAAATGACCTTAACATAAATGTATATAGTATAAACAAGAGTTACAATCTTTGTTCTTTCACCAAAAAATTATTAAATACATTTTGATGAAATTTTACAGTTACAAAGATTATATGAAGGCCTATAAGTTACACTAAAATCCAGTATAGTTACTAAAGATTGTATTGTTTATAAAATCACATGTCACATATATATTGTAAGTGGTTCATTATTATAGATATTGTTTTAAAATTCATACAAATCTTTCCAAGCCTAACTGTCAATGCCGAGTGGGTAAAGTTGCAGGTAAAAACTAGTTTATAATTAATCTCACCTTAAGAGTCTTGCCGATGACATTTGATGTAGAAGTGAACACATGACTGGCCTCGCTTTTAACAGCTGTACCAATTTCATCAAGGTCTTTTTTGACCATTGAGTACACTTCCGCAGACTGTAATTTAAATATTTTACAAATATAAGTGAAATTTCATATTGCTTTTAATAATTAGATTGAATTATTAAAACTTATGGATTTAATGAAACATGGATTAATGTTTGCAGTGTAATTATCTTAGATGAAATAGTTTTGGCTATGTTTATTTATTTTGATGTTAATAATAATGAAGTTGTAGTGGCCTAGAGGTTAAAGGCCTGCCTGTCGTGCATGAGGGTGTGGGTTTGAAACCCGGCAAGTACCAATGTGATTTTTCCGAGTTATATGTACTTTCTAAGAGTATTTAGACATCACTGACAGACAGTGAAGGAAAACATTGTGAGGAAACCTGGACTTATAATTTCACAATTATAAGTTGAAATCACCAACCCGTCTTGAGCATGTGTGGTGATTAATGCTCAAAACTTCTTCATATGAGAAGAGGCCTCTTAGCAGTGGGCTCTGATAGGCTGACGATGATGTAGGATTTTTTAAGTCTATATTATAAGTAATGTGATGTGATCCCAACTTTAAGCACACCCTGGCTAAAGCTGGGAAATTGCCAGGTAGAAGAAGATTATACATAATGTGATTGTTACCTTGGTCTTGGCTGATGTGATCCATGAGTCCCACCAGTTGCCGGTGGACTTGTCTTCCTGTTTTGGGGTGCTCGTCTCGCTTGTGCTTTCACTTCTGTTGGCAATTGTTCATGTAACATTTTTCAAATAGTAATTTAAAAATTTTATAAGTATTTACTCTGTTTTTTCATTAAAAACATAACTAGCTTGAGAATTCGCTTGGATATATCTAAGCAAACAATAATTTTGTAAATAAATTCTATTTAAAATATCGATGTTTTTTGTTTTAACTGCCAAATAGGCAGGCCATTTATTTATCTTAGTTTTATCATCGTGATAAGTTTTAACAAGCCTTTACATGATTGATTAGACACACAAAGAAATAATGATTATTCTTAAATACACATGTCTTAATACCTTTATTACATTATTCAACATTTAGGGCACGAAATATAGAGATTTACGACATTGCAAAGAGATTTAAGATAAACCTAGATTAAATACAATAAGGTTAGAAATACATTTTCTTAACAGGAAATGATTAGAAAACGATTAAATGGTGCATGGATTATTTATTTATACATGCGCACTTTGTTTATTGTATAAGCGTTAAAAATTCTTTTCGACACTGTTGTCATAACGATTGATCTCAGAATACTTACTTTTCAGCCATCCTGTGCTTTAATGAGGAATTGAATAAATTTTACATGGATTTTTGGACAATATTAAATTATGTAAATGTTTTTGTTATTACACAAAATTTAGAATTAATTTTGACATAGTTTTTAGTTTTGTAAATTGTTTGCGTTGACATATGAGGTCCAGATAAGAAAACATCTACAAAATGTTTTCACAGATTAAATATTTAAAAGTAATGAAGAATGATAACAGGAAAGAGGATATATTATGTAATCTGATAAAAAAATTAAGTATCACGTACAATTTATGAAAAAAACTTTAGTGTTCATATATTATCTCTATTATTATTTTTATTCACATTACAAATAAAACACTATTAAAAACTTCTATAAGAGACTAGAAACACAGCTTGAAGTATTTGTTGGGAAGCGGCATTTTTAAAAGCCTTATGTTGTTTCATGTGTATAATACAACAGCATTACAAATATGAAAATTTGAAATAATTGAAATGTAATTGAATTCATAATTATGAACAAGGTTCTTTCTTAAGGCTCCATATTAATAATATGTTCAAAAAGAAATAAATATGTATCATGCGAATTATCCCAGGTAAATTATTGCAATCTGGTGAGTAATTATAGGAATTTATTGTATATTATATTAATTTACGTGGGTAACGTATCTCAATCTCATACGTGGATTATTCAATAAAGTATTAACGAATATTATATTTTGCGAGCTTAGCGTTCGAGATACCGGTGTTATGATAGGTATGGGAATGGTCTGTTTGTTTAAAACGTACGTTGGGCTGAATAAGATGTGCCTTTAGGTTTTTAACAAAAAAATGGTTCTTTATAAAATATGTAAGATTTTTTATTTGCAAATCATTATAATATCAATTAGTTAAAATAAAAGGGATATCATTTTAAGTTTATTACAATTATAAATATTTTATCCTAAAATTAATATTATCTGTTACAGATTGTTACAACGTATGTTAGGCCATTAAAATATTTTATAAACATGTAAATTTTTGAAACACAACTTGTGTTGATGACTGTTGTTTGTACCAAGCACTCCCACTGTTAGTTTTCGATCAGATTTGGTGCAGCTTTCTTCATATTATTAATAAGAGCTCGCGAACCTTGCATCAAAGTGAAATATACAGAGTGTTCAAAACTTATATTTGACGAGGCACAATTAAATTATTTGTAAACAACAAATTTTTTAATTTTATCGCTTTAAGTTGAAAAGCTTAATTTTATTACGAAATTACGTTAATTATATAAGTTGCAGTTTATTCAACTTTAATGTTTTGTTAACTATGATAGATAATTATGTTATATTTATAACAGTGATATATAAAAATTTGTCAGTATGACTAACAAAAATAAACATACCTATATATATGTTATATTCGGTGGGAACATATTAAGCATCCTGTATATAAAATCTGAATGGATAATCCACGAGTAATAACACAGCGTGATCGACGCGAGTCTTCAAAGTTCATCGCTCAATCAGTGACGTCACGCTCGTGACCCACCACGCCCGCCAGATGGCGCTGCACGATGCATTCAGCCATTATGTCAAATATTAGTACAGATAATTAATAAATTAAGATGTATTTATTACTTTGTGCAATATTGCGATGTAAATTATGATACAATTAACTTATATAATATTAAATTCAATAATAAATGAAGTCTTTTTTGCAATAATAGCTTTCAATAATCAACTTCAAACGATAGCTATATTTTTGCATTCATAATTCTATCTTCTAAACTGAAGTGATATACCCAAATGTCATTTCAATATTATTTATTTTTATTTACAATTATTTATATTGAATTGCTACCAAGGCTAATAACATGTCTGTCTGAGCACAAGTTTCTATCGTCGCACTAATTACGAAGCGTTTCCCATTTTACATTCAAAAACCTACGTTAATACTATAATGTGCGAAGATTTATGAATGAAAAAAAATGTGAATTCATCGTGTGTAACGTGACTATGTAATCTTGGGTAAGTATACAGATTCGTTAAACGCTAACTTAAACTATCTAATAATTTCTGTTATTTTATGTTTAGTAGTTTAAAAAATAATTTGAATGTAAATATTGAATTTATCATAAAACCCGTTGAAAAATTTGATTGGTATTCCGTATTTAAAATTAGAATAACAATAAAAAAGCATCTTCACTTCAAACAATCGCTAACGTCATTTGTTTTCTTGTACTATAAACTAATTGTTTTAATATGTCAAGTCAGCCAATTACTCCAACACCTATGTGGTAATTGGCCATAATATTATGATTTTCTTGTCGTTTCTCTAATATGAGATCAGAGAACTCGGAATTATACCATCGGATCGACTTATTTGTTTAATGTTAATGATAGAATCAGTTGTATTAGATACTTATATTTCATATAAGTAGTATTAAAAATTACTTATACTCAGTACATTGTCACCGGCACATCAAATTCTATAAAAATATAAATTATTACGAATTATATAATCTGAGTGTAAGTATTTTAATCATTTTAGTCAACGGGTTATTTTGATGATATTTTCTATAGATTGTATTAAGAAAATTTATTTTCGATTAATAATTTTTAGCTTTAATATAAATTATCAAACTATTTACACTAGACGGGAGTCGCGCTTAAAATTATGCATATAAGTATTATTACATACATTTCTATGCTATGGTTTAATTTACACTAGAATTGTAGCATATTTTGTCAATGATACATATAATTGACATGCGTCTATTAATGACATAACGAACGATTTAACAGATGATACAAAGTGTTGATGTAATATTACGTTCAGTAACTGATAACATGTAATTTTATTAAACAAATGTTTCATTGGGAGCAAGGTTGTTTGTTATATGAAGTGCAACGCGCACGTTGCGATTGTTGGCCGCGATCGTTTATTGATTGGCTGAAAAATCGTGCTTAGTGTCCTAGGGTGAGCATGAGTTTTGATCTTGTGTGTACAAGAAATCATCTTTATTATGAAGTTTTAAATTTTATACATATATAAAACATATTTTATATAAGTATTCATATTTTTTAAGAATAGTTTCTATGGGAAAACTATATATATTGATAGCTTGTTTGCTACTCTGTATATATATTTTTTTAATTTTATTGAAAACAAAATAATTAGAAGAAATTGTTACTAGTTTACAACGCTTATAAAAATACGCGTCTATATCACAGGATAAAGAACCAAAAGCAATAAAAAAAAATTCAGTATTTCATGAATTTCAATTTTTATATGAGAATTTTAGCCTTGGTGTTATGAACAGGTAGGGTATTCCCTCTAGAAAGCCTACACCACTGACAAGTCCACCAAAACTCAATTAAACCATAATTTTTTACGCCATATTTTATTATCTTATAACGTTAAAATATTACAAAATGATTATCTATCTTATAATGATCAATAGAGTAACAAAGTTTGAATAAAGATATCGCATTAGTATATATTCTTTCTAGTATTAATAAAAAATAATATTAAATATTTTCTCAACGTGATATGGTCACCGTACAGCGAGTGGGAACGACGTGGGCATCTCATCTCTGTTATACTATGCTTTTGAATTTTATTGGGAGGCATATTTGTTAAATATATTAATTATAAATTACTTTCCTTTATTTACATATCATGATTTTGAATTACAAAAAACATACTGCCAAAGTTTCAAAGAGGTTTCATTTGTTAAATTGATTTAGAATTTTTATTGTACAGCACAACAAAGATGATAAAAAAAATGGCGGTATTGTCACTAAGAAGAGAGCAAGTTAGAGAGAGAAATCTATTCCAAAGACTTGTTGGAATATGATATTAAATATGTTAATGAGTTTTGACAAAGTTAAGAGGATGGCTTGGGATTTTAATAAATATTATTCTTGGACTGAATTTAGTAATTGTGAGAATTAGGGAGGAATTTTAATGTTTGGCTTACATAAAAGTAATATAAAACAGAATTGAGCCATTAGATTCAGGATATGACCATTCTTCCAATGATGTTTTAGAAGCTGAATAGATTTGATTTCATTGAACAGACGTCGATATTAGCAAGAACATAAATAAAATCGAAAAATTTGACAAAACAACTCTTAAGCAAGAAGGTTTCATTTCTTTCCTGAGTTATCTAAGAACACAGTGCAGAAGCTGGGTTTTTTATACCAACACAAAGACTGATGTAAAATATTCAAGTTAATAGATTTGCTCCAATACTTTGGAACTACAAAAATAATCAACAAAGGAACATAAGATAATGATCAGTGTTTAATTCATATGAATCAAGGTGAAGAAGAAAAGGAATTAGCCTATAGGTATATAAAATAATAATAATATTTATTTTATCATTTTAATAAATATACGTAAATAGATAATATTTGTAATTACAAGCCAGCTTGTGAAACGGTCGCATTAATTAATGATTAATCAGAATAAGACTTAATTTATATGAAAACTGTAGTCGGCTTCCACATAACTTAAAACTAAATCTATTATCTGTCATTTCATTCAGGATTGTATGTACTTCACTATTAAAATCATTATTGTAAACCAACAAAGACAATATTTAATATCTTTCTTTGTTTCGTAAGTTCCTTTTTTTGAACTAACCCAGACCCAAGTACAAGTTTGAATTATACTACATACGAAGCGTTTCCCGTTTCTCATTAAATAACCTACGTTAATACCGTAATGTGTTAAGTTATATTAATGAAAAACTGTTGACGCTGCGTATGTAGTGTAATGGAAACTTAAGGTACGAAAACTAAACGAAATCCCATCATGAGATGTAATTTGACGATAGTGTTACAAATGAAAATCAAAGTTTAAATCAGTATGTTTTATAATGTTATGGCTTCACTCGCGTTGGAATCATGGATTATTTTTCCAATATCAACGTTTTTATTTTATGAGTTGTGTTGAGTACAGTGTGGATGTAACGCTAAGATGTCTGTCGTATGGAATACAGGCTTTTATATATATTTTTTTAAAGAATA